CACCACCAGGAGATCTGAACTGGTGACAAGTTTATTTCACACCTGTTGCGTGCCAGGCTGAATGAAACTGACACATTGTTGTCTTAGTGACAGAGGGAGGGGTGGAGGCTCAATGACATGTATTTACTGAGGCCTCTTTTGAAGACTGCTGTGTGACCTTGGGGAAATATATTAACCTCTCAGGGTCTCCATTTCTAGCACAAAACGGAGCTCTCAATACTCACTTCATGGTGTTCTGGGAGGAGTCTGTGTTAATGCATGTCCTTGGCATAGAATTTCCATAAAGGTGGCTCCCCTGCCCCACCTGTCCTGCTGGGGCCAGAAAAAAGTCAGACAGGGACTTGGGGGCCTGAAGACACCAGAGAAGTGGGCAGGCCCAGGCGATGTAGGGCCTTGAGTTCCCGGCTGAGGAGCTGCAGCCACGAAGTGGATGGACAGGAGTCAGAGAATGGAGACCAAGAAACTGGGGAGGAGGCTAGGTTGAGGGTCCAGGGGGCAAGGAGGAGACCTGAGCTAGACCTGTGCAGTGGGGACAGAGAGGGAGAGCCAGTGCCTGCTGGACTGTGGGGGTGGGAGGCAGGAGGGTCGACATGTTGGGCCATTCTCAGAGTCTCATGTCTTGGGGTCCCCCAAGCAGGGCAGGCCAGGCACCTTCTGGGAGGATAAGCATGTCCTCGGCTAATTGCCCATCATGTGGGCCAGTTTCTCCTGCGGCAAGCTTCTGACCCAGCTCAATCGTCATCTTCATTCCTCTGCTCCAATTGAGCGACAATCGCATGCTAGGCCTTGGACATGGCATGGGAACAAAACGGGCTAGTGACCCAGGGAGACGAAAGGTCACCCTGGGGCCAGATTTGATTTACAAGGTTTGGAGAGAAGGCGCACAGCACCTGTTTTAGGACACACCATGCGATTCAACCAAGCAGGAATCCAGGTGGGGGCCTCTCCGGCCTCCATGCTCAATGACAGAGACACGCAGGGAACGGCATTCCTGGCAGAAGGAACAGCAGACACAAAAGCCTGGAGGTGGGAATAGTGCTCAGTGCATTGGGGAGCTTTAGCTGGAGTGTGGGGTCCATGGACAAGGAGGGACTGGGACACAAACTCCCTACAGGGCTGAGGTTCAAATCCCAGCTCTGCTTGGTACTTGCCTTGTGGACTTGGCCAAACTGCTTCTCTTCCCTGAACCCTCATTTTCTCACCTGTAGCACCCTAAAACGCAGGGAGATCCCAGCTCTCCTTCATCCATATCTTGTTTTTAGTGAATGTTGGTGTTCAGTTATTTATTGAGCAACTGGTCATTCTGGGCTCCGAGGACGCAGTGGTTTGGATTGTGCTGGCCTGGAATGAGACCAGGCTTTGAAAATCTCTAAAGACCCCACAGGGGATTCTAAGCGCCCAGGGCTGAAAACCAAGGAGGCAGGTGGAGAACATAACCAGTGCTCTCTGACTTTCCTTTGCTTTTTTTCTGGTAATCCCTCTCATGCATTTGCACATTCATTCATTCACAAATTCATTCACCACACATTCATTCATTCACACATTCATTCATTGAGTCAAACAGTGGTTAAGCACCAGCAATATCCCAGGACTGTGGATCCCACCCTGGCCTTCTGGGGTGCGGTTCAGATCCCTGATTTGGAGATGGTAAATTCTCATTTATGCATTCAGTGAAGATCCAGGAACTCTTCAAAAGCCCAAGATCTTTTCCTTGGCGTCTCCATTTTCCTCTCCTGTAAACTGGGGAGAAAATTTCTCCCTGAGGAGCTGTCTGGAGATCAAAGACTAAACTAATGCTGATCCTAATGGGAGCTTCAGTTTCCTGAGCATTTATCAGGGGCCTGGCGCTTCACATATTTTATCTCTTTTAATCCTAAAGTAGGATTAAAACCCTGAGATAAAGATTATCCTCATGTGACAGATAAGGAAACTGAGGCTCAAAGACCAGAGGCACAGAGAGAGCCAATGTCTAAGCACTTAGCGGCTAATCTGCCTGGTTAACACATGAACTCACAGCTCCCACCCACTGGGCTAAATCTGCCTAGCAACCGTTGACATCACTAAGACCACAGCTCATGCTCAACCTATGGGGTACCTGATGATATCACTGAACAATAAAGCAATTACAATGTGCTGAGGACCTACTGTGTGCCAAATGCGGTGGTAGGCAGCCCCTTCTCTGGGCTCACACAATGTCCAGTATTGCCTCTATTACTGGGTATAATAATAATTTTAGCCCAGGTTTATTGAATGCAGACTAATGAGCCAATCATTTTTACAGCTATTGACACATTAAACCATCCCATTATCCCTACTGTTAAAAAATTAATAAACATTTATAGGGTGCTTACTCTGTGCCAGGCACAGTTCTAAGCATTTTTTTCTATGCTCACAACCCTGTGAGGTAACGATTATTTTTATTATCCCCATTTTATGCATGAAAAAACAGAGAGATTGAGTGACTTGCCCACAGCCACAGTTGGTGGGACATAGAATTAAAACCCACATATTCTGGCTCCAGTGTCTATGACGTTACCAAGCTACTGTGCTACTTCTCCTATTCCCGTGTTACCGTTGAGGAAACTGAGGCAGAGACAGATTAAGCACTGGGCCTCAGTTTGGCTAGAAAGTGCCCAAGTCAGTCTCTGTGCCTGAGATGTCCAACTCCAGAGCTGTGCTCATGCTCACACCTGTACCACTTTAGTTACTCAGAAGCAGGGCCTGCAAAGCCCCCGTCCCTGTGAAGTGACCAGCCCTCCCTCCCTCCTTTTCTCCCCGGGAACTGACCCCAGGCAGGAACAGAGGGGTCCTTTGCCAGCAGACCATAGGCCACACACCAGCTTTCCTCGGAGCCCCCTTCCTGACCTCACCTAGGGATGCTGCCCTTTGGGAACCCTGGCTGGCTGGGCTGAGCCTCACCAGGACTCGCAGACCCGTCCTGCAACCCCAGGCAGAGAACACAGTTCTCTAGCTTTTGTTTTTCTGCTCCAAGCCTGATCCTGGTGGCAGGTCTTGGAGAAACACCCCATCTTGAAAATCTCTGAAGCTGGGGAAGGCCTTCAGGAAAGACTCTGGGAGCTCTCTGGGCAAGTCATAGCCTTCAGTGGGCCTCAATTTCTTCATCTGTCAACTAGACAGACAAAGCAGAGCCATCAGAAAAAGCCTCTGTAAATCAGCTGTTTTTCAACCTCAGTGGGCCAAATACCTCACCTCCTTTTTATTAAAAACAGTGGTTTTAGTGGAAGAGTCTCTTTCTTCCTTTAATGTTTTATTCATTTATTTATTGAATGTTTTATTAAAGTAAAACTCACATGGGTGCTCTGCACGGAGCTCAATGAATTTTGCAAAGTAGGCACATCATGTAACCAGGCCCCCACCTGCCCCTACCCCTCATTTACCCAACCCCTCCCTCCCCAAGGATAACCGCCATCCCTCGTTCTAACGCCGTAGGTTACTTTCTCCTGTGTTTGCAATTCCTATAACTGGAATCGTACTATCTGGATACTCGTGTCCCTCATCCCTCGTTCAGCATTATGTTTCTGAGTTTCATCTGTGCGGTCGGACCCCAACCAACCCTCTTTATATAACAGGAGATTTGAAACATCCTCTTCACGCTCTTGAAATGAAATCCACAGACGATATAACCCACTTACAATTCTTTTCCCCAGTTCAATGTATTGTCCTAAGTGTACTATAGAGATACAAATGGAAGGTGATGCAGTATGGTGGCTAAGACTGGGCAGATCTGGGTTTTGTGGGGGCCTGAAGCTTATATCATTTTGAGGAGGCACTCCTTCAGAAAAAGAATCAAAACAGGTGGCAACAACCTTAGGTAGAGGGAATGTTCATTTAGAGTGAGAAAAGACTTTACAATAATTGCTTCATTTTGAAAGCTGACAAATGCTCTAAACATTCCAGAAAAATAACACACTAGCCCCTGGCTTTGCACACTTCCAACCTGAATGTCCCCCTCCATCATATACTTTTGGTGACTTGTGCTCTTGAACGGGTGATATTGTAATACGACTTCTGTCTCCCAAGTTTTCATGTTGTTACACCCAATTCCTGCACCCAGCCAGCTCGCTGTAACATACACAGACGTGACTTTAAACTTTATCAATATCCCACAAATGCCCAATGAAATGTGTCTCCAATTCAACTTACCTCAGCCAGGTCCCCAAAATACCCATCCTTGTCCCACACCACAGACTGGAGATCCTGGAGGAGGTTGCAACAGAAAGAGGCAGAGGATTAAACGGATTGCTTTGAAAACATCTCACTTCTGACAATTTTACTTCCATGTATGGTTACGTGACGACACGGCAGGGGGTTTGGAAAAGCAGCTTGAGTGAGGGGCTTGAAGCTTAACACTAGTTTAGCTTCACGGGGACTCCACATCTGGGTTAGCATGTGGGCTCTGCTGATATGTGGCCGTGCACGCGTGGGCAGGGCACCCAACTTCTTTGGCCTTGGTTTCCTCATTGGTATAATTGGGTGGTAACTTAGCATCTTCCTCGAGAGTTAGGGGAAAGAGTAAACATATAGAAAGTGTTTAGCCCCACTATGCAGATGTGAAGTGTTCCATGTCACCCCAGCTGGGTGGCTTTGGGCAAGTCACTCAACCTCTCTGTGCCTCTCTTTCTTCATTCATAAAATGGGGATAATAATTATTGTTACCTCATAGGGTTGATGTGGGGTTTCAGTAAACCATCCTCACTTTGCAGATGAAAAAATGAGGTACAGAGAAAGTTCTGTGCCAGGGTCCCAATAGCAAGTGGGATGCCCCTAGCCCATCTGCCTTCCTGCCCTCCCTCCTCTCCTGAGATTCCTCTGTCACTTTTCACCACCCTGTGTCCTGGAGGCCTCAGCTGTAAAGCTGGAAGCAGTGCAGGCTCCTGGGACCTTGGAGGACACTCAAGTGCAGGCCCCCCCACTTTCCTAGGTGACCTCTGTCCTCACCTCCTCCCAGTCCTCATGGTGTTTCCTTCACCCTCTTACAGCCAGAAGTTGTCAGGAGAGTACTTCAGGTACAAAGGCATTCCCTTCCCCGTCGGCATCTACTCACCTGAGAGTATCAGCATCACGGAGAACGCCGAGGTGCAGGACGACGACATCTTTATCATCACCTATCCCAAGTCAGGTAACTGCTGGGCTGGGCTGGGGAGGCGGGTGCTAGGGAGAGTGGGGGTGTGGGTGGCATAGAGGAGGATAAGGGCACACTGAGGACAACGGGAAGAGGAAAGCGGGGACTGGGTCTGTCCAGAACCGGGGTGACCTTGGCCTTTGCACTGGCAGGTCCCTCCCCCAGGAGAACCCTTCCCCCAGATCCCTCTCCTGCCCTGAGTCAGCTCTCATGTCCCCAGGGAGGCCTTTCCTGACCTCCTCGGTCAAAATAGCATTCTTATCTTGTCCCTCTTTATCCCCTTGACTAACCTCATCCTTTTTTTCATGTATCACCACCAAACACTATATTATATATTTATTTGTTGATTAATTCTCTGGCTTCCCCACCAGAACGTGAACTCCATGAAGGCAAATATTTTAGTTTGTTTGTTCACTGCTGTGTTCTTTGAGCCTAAAACAGTGCCTGGCACATCATAAGTGTTCAATAAATATTTTTAGGAGGAAGCGAGGGAGGGAGAGAGGGAAGGAGGAAGAGGAAGAGGGAAGGAGGGAGGGAGGGAGGGAGAGAAGGAGGGAGGGCAGAAGGAAAGTAATTCCTTCTCAAAGTCCCTTGGGGGGGTTTTAGTGAGAGAAGGGACAGACTTCAACCTTTTCTTCTCTAAAATGATGGGATTAACTTCTTTATTTTTTCAAAATATGACATTCACTCTTTTCTTTTTTTTTTTTTAAGATTTTTATTGGGGAATTGGGGGAGGGAAACAGACAAGTTGCTGTCGTTTTGTTCTTCAGCCTAGTTGTGGAGGACATTGTTTCACTGGCCCATGTTGGTATTATCATTGCGCTCTTCCCGGGTGAGGCAGATCAGTCGCTGGCTTCTGGACGGCCGCTCATGGTGGCTCTTGGCAGCTCACACACAGTAGCTTATGGCAGCCCACTGCAACTTCACTGCAGCCTATGCCTTCGCCGGCGACTCATGGCAGCCCAGCTCCAGGTTGAGCTGTTGTTCACCATCTTAGATGTAGAGGGCAGAGCATCACTGGCCCTCATGTGGGATCCAAACTGGGGCCCTGATGCTCAGAGCTGGCATCCCAAACCAGCTCTTAACCAATGAGCCACTCGGCTGGCCCTGACATTCACTCTTTTCATCATGGAGTTCTATGAGGGGTTTTTTGGTAACAGCTTTGAGATATAATTCATATACCATACAATTCATCCATATTAAAGTGTACAATTTTATGGCTATAGTATATTCATAGTTGTACAACCATCACCACAATCAATTTTAGAATATTTTCATCACCCCAGCAAGAAACCCTGTACCCCTTAGCCTTTACCTCCCAATCCCCACATTCGGGTCCCCAAGCTCCTGCCAACTATCAATCTATTTCCTGTCTCTATAGATCTGCTTATTCTGAACATTTCATGTAAAGGAATCACACAACACATGGCCTTTTGTGACTGGCTTCTTTCACTCAGCATAATGTTTTCAAGGTTTATCTTAATCAGTTCCTTACTGATTAGTATTTACTATTAGTTTCCAGCCCTTTGCTTTTATGCACGATGTAAACTCTAGGTACAATGCCCCATCCTATACATGTATCATTTACACACATATGCATTTGCACACATATTTATTAATTATGTAGGATAAACTCCTAGGTATGGAAACGCTTGGTCAAAGGGTCTGTGCATTTGCAATTTTGATGGATATAGCCAAATTTCCCTCCATCAGAGCTGTACAAATCTGCCCCCAAACAGCAGGCTGTGTGTGAAACAGCTTTGGAGATGGACGGTGGTGATGTTTGCATAATGTGAATGTACTTAATGTCACTGAACTGTACACTTAAAAATGATTAAATTGGTAAATTTTCTATTCTGTATATTTTACCACACACCCACAAACAAATAATTATTAACCAGTAACAGGACTAAACTACCAAGGGGTAAAGAGAACCCCAACAGATACAGGAAGAGCCAATACTGGGAGCAGCCACTCCCTCTAGGGCTGAAGCGGAGCACCCAAGGAAATTTGCTGGGGGTGGTGAGGGGAGTAAATGGCACTGGTGTCTATCGCACTGGGGCCGCTGTCCATCACAGAAGCAGGATGAGAGGAGCCCTTGAGAACCGGGAACAGAAACCGCATCCTCCTGTAGGGTTCCTCCAGCGCCCTCTACTGACAGAGTTTGTCATTGAGCTAGCTGGCAAAAGAGAAATTTGTGAGTTCATCCAGCTCCAGTTATCACAGAACCGGGAAACGAAATGTGGAGCCGGGGCCAAGAGACAATACGCCGAGAACTGGCACAGGGTGACTGTTATAATCCAAGGCAATATAATACTAATAATAGGTGACCGTTAACATTGTTATTATTTCTCATCTGACTTGCCTGACTTCCTTCCAGTCTCCTGGAATCGGGACCTGTGAACTGACTGGGTCACTGATGAGATCCCTTCCTTCTACATGTTGTTTGTGGCTCTCCATAAAATCAGGAGGTTACTCCCAAGAAGGGGTGGCGAAAAGCAATGAGATTTTAAGTCCAGACGCTTACCATATATATTAGCGGAGTGCTTCTGCCCTGATAAATAAGCCTTAGAATCTCAGAAGCTGAGACCCAACTGAAGTTTATTTGTCATCCTGAAAACTCCAAGCAGTGCAGGATGGTTGGAGGGAAGTGGGGGAAATCCAGCAGTCTCAGGCAGCCCTGATCCTGCGATCTTGTGGCTCTGCCATCCCCCGGAGCCCCATTTCCATTGGCTTCTCTGCATCCAGCCAGCAGAGAGGGGGTCAAGAAAGTAGGGTTCACGTGGGAGGAGTTTATGGGCCAGGCCTGGAAATGGCTGCACCTAGCACTGCCACCTGCACTTCCTTTGCCAGAACTCAGTCATATGGCCCCCACACAGCTTCCAGAGAGGCCAGAAAATGTAGTCCCATTATATTCCCGGTAGGAAAATGAAATGGGGTTGGCAGACAGCTAGTCAGTCTCTGCCACGTGCTGCTTCCTAGCTTTGCCACCTGGGCTAGTGACCTTGTTTCTTTGAGCCTTAGTTTCCTGCTCTGAAAATAAAGACAACCAACCCCACCTTTCCCACTATTTGTGAAGAGTCCATGCAATAAAATATATAGCCAATTGTGAAGTAAACGCAGCCATTATAAATCTGATGATAACCCCCTCTTTACCTCTCCCCACCTCCAATTAATTTGCCCCATTTCTCCCACCAGGCACTAACTGGATGATTGAGATCCTCAGCTTAATCCTAAAGGATGGGGACCCCTCCTGGATCCGCTCAGTGCCCATCTGGAACCGGGCGCCCTGGTGTGAGACCATCATGGGTGCCTTCAGCCTCTCTGACCAGCCCAGCCCCCGCCTCATGAGTTCCCACCTCCCCATCCAGCTCTTCACGAAGGCCTTCTTCAACTCCAAGGCCAAGGTGCAGGAGTAGGGAGGGGTGGGGTGGGAGGAAAGGAGAGAGGGCATAACTAACAAATGCATTCAGCACATATTTTTCGAGCAACTACTATGTCCTGGCTCTGATCTAAAACAGCAGTAAATAAACACAATGTAAGCCCACATTCTAAAGGAGTACAGGCAGTGAATAGATGGAATAAATAAGGAAAAGATTTAATACTAACAAGGTGATGATTCACATCCAGAAAGAGAGAGTGGAAGTTAGAGTTGGGGTGGGGGTTGCAATATAAATAGGGTAGTCAAGGCAGGCCCCAGTGTGAAAGTTCCGTTTGAGGAAAGACCTGGGAGGTGAGGGAAGGAGTCAGGGGGATGTCTGGGGGTCTCCAGGGGGAGAAAATTACAGGCAGAGGGAAGAGCAAATGCAAAGGCCCTGGGGTGGGTGTGATGTGCTTGAGGACCAGCAAGGAGGCCTGTGTGGCCAAAATCAAGTGAGAGAGGGGCAGAGGAGTGGAGATGAGGTCAGGGAGGTAACAGGGATCAAAATATGCAGGGCTGTATTGGCTGTGGCGGGGGTTTGGCTTGTACTCTGAGCAGGACAGAGCCAGGGGAGGGCTCTAGACAGAGACGGGAGCCAGCTTAGGTTTTCACAGCCGCCCTCTGGTGGCGAGGTGGGGAACAGCTCGTCGCGGCGAGGGCAGAAGCAGCTAGGAGGCGCCTGGGAGGGTGCTGGTGGAGGAGACCTGGGTGGTGGCCGTGGAGGTGGGCTGGGTTTGGGGTGTATTTTGAAGGTGGAACCAGGAGGTTGTGCTGACAGATTGGATGTGGGTGTGAGAGAACCAGATGAGTCAAGGGTGTCTCCAGGGTGTTTGGCTTCAGGAAGTGGGAGGATGGGGCTGTCGTTGACTGAGATGGGGAGGACAGGGAGGAGAGGTTTGAGGGGGAAGATGGAGAGCTCTGCTGTGGCCCATCGACATCCAGGTGGAGGTTGCCAGTGGGCAGTGAGATAGACGAATCTGGATTTGACAGGAGAGAACTGGGCTGGACATATATATTTGCAATTTGTTGCTAGATAGATAGATAATTCAAACCAGGAGACTGGTAGGATCACCAAGGAGGTTAAGTGTAGATAGAGACAACATAGGGACTGCAATCCAGGAGTTTCCAAGACCACCCTAAGGCTCCATGATTCACTGGAAGGACTCAGAACTCAGCAAAACAGTTCAACTCACAGTTACAGTTTGTTACATGGAAAGGAAACAGATTAAAATCTGCCAAGTGGAAGAGGCACGTAGGGCAAGGAGAGACCAAGCACCAGCTTCCATTGTCTCTCCCAGTGGAGTCTCATGGATAGAACTTAATCCTCCCAGCAAAGATGTGTGACAACAAGCACAGAGTATCACCCACCAGGGATGCTCACCTGAGCCTTGGTGTCTAGGGTTTTTATTGGAGGTAGGCCACGTAGACATGGCTGACCACCATATAGTTGACCTTGGTCTTGGGGAAGGAGATGGTTGCCAGGGAAGGACATACTTGATGGGACTGGGGGTAGGGGGTTGATTGTAGAATATAAACCTGGTAGACAGATTGGAGCCAGGTAATTGGGGCCTCTAATGCCAGGCCCAGGAGCTGGGACTCTATCCAAGGGTGCTGGACAGCCAAGGAGGACTGGGTCAGCCCTGTGTGTAGAAAGACCCTCTGGAGCCGTATGGAAGTTGGGAGGCTGGGGTGAGGGTCCACGCAGGAAAGGATGAGGCTGGGGCCTTGGCTCTGGAAATAGGAAGGCTTCTCCTCTTTTGGTCAACACTTCTCATCCTGATCTCCTCCATCCTGAACCCCATGCTTTTCTCCTCCACTCTTTATTCCCTGAAGCCAAACCGTCTCTTCACCTGATCCAGAAACAGCTCCCCTCTCCACCTAGAATGAGGTTGGAGGGAGTTCTCCTTGTCTTCTGGGATGAGGTGAAATGATCTGAGCTACTATCAGCTGGGAAGTCCTCTGAGAAGTCTATCTTGAGTCCTTCCTGCTGCAGGGTCAGAAGAGATGGGGGCTCAAGGCCTTCCTGGGCCAGAGTCCAGCCGTATCTGACCCTTCTCCCCTCTCCTCAACACTCATGCACAGGTGATCTACATGGGCCGGAACCCCCGGGATGTGGCAGTCTCACTCTATCATTACTCCAAGATCGCCGGACAGTTGAAGGACCCTGGCACGCCTGACCAGTTCCTGCAGAACTTCCTCAAAGGCGAAGGTGAGGACTGGGGCAAAGTGGGGTCGGGGGAGCCCCTAGTGGACCCAGCCTGGAAGAGTGACAGAGGAGGGATGAGAAAGGAGAGAGAGAGAGAGGCAGAGTTACAGGGTGTTATAAAGATTGATGGAGCCAGAGGGGGGAACCAAGAGAAACAGAGAGTGAGAGACAGAGGGAGAGAGGGAGACCAAAAGGCTGAGAGAGAAACCAAAACGCAATAAGAGATGCAGAAAAGGGGAGAAAGAACCAGAGAAAGACTGAGAGACACAGAGTAAGCCAGAGACAGACAGATAGGCAGACACATAGATACAGAGACACTGAGAGAGAAACAAAAAGGGAGAAATGGAGAAATAAATGCAGAAAGGGCAAAGAGACAGAGGGACATGGGACACTAGATGTGGGGGACAGGGCGGGTGGGAAGGCATCCAGCTCAGAGGGGCCAGACCTAGGACCATGTGGGACTAGTTAGATCCCTCTGAGCCTTGCTGCCTGGCCCTCACCTCTCCGCCCCTCCTCCCGCAGTGCAGTTCGGCTCCTGGTTCGACCACATTAAAGGCTGGATTCGGATGCAGGGCAAAGAGAACTTCCTGTTTATCACCTACGAGGAGCTGCAGGAGGTGATTAAGCCACACACAAACCTTGGCCCAGCAGCCCCCCACTACTCCCCTCCTCATGATCCCTATTTCCCTTCCACTAAGGCTTGCTCTGCTGCCCAACCAGGTGCTGGGGCAACAGCGGTGAACAAAACAGGGTCCCTGAGTGGGAGAGGGACAATGGGCAAATAAATAAAATAGATGGCAACTGGGGAGAAGAGCTAAGGAGAAATGGCCAGCGAGAAAGGAGGATAAGGAATGTGTCCACACACATGGTTTTAAGTAGAGTGGTTGGGGGAGGCCTCCAGGAGAAGATAACCCTCAAGTGAAGAACTGAAGGAGGAGGGGGAGCCACAGAGATAGATATCTGGGGGAAATGTCCCTGGCAGAGGGACCAGCAAGTGCAAAAGCCCTGGGGTGAGAGTGTGCTTGGTGTATTCCAAGGATTGGAAAGAGGCCTGATGGCCAGAGCTCAGTGAGTGGGGGTGAGGGTGGGAAATGAGGCCAGATGGTGAGGACTTTGGCTTTTCTCTGAGTAGGTGGGAGCCATAGGTGGGCTCTGAGCAGGGGAGATGATAAGATCGATAAGGTCATGTGAAACTGTGGCACATGGGAAGTGAGCCTCAATGATGGTTGTAGCCTGAAAGGCAGAGGAAAGTAGCGGAAGTAACAACCTGGAGTTAGACTGGGATCCTGTCCAAACCCCTCAGTGTAATCTAGGCGATACCTTCTGGCTGGGGCAATCAGGGAGGTCTTCCTGGAAAAAAGGACTGTGCAGAATGCCTATGGCTTTACCTGGCTTCAAGGAGGATGTTGGGCTTCTAGCTGGAACAATCCACAGTGAATGTGCCCAACCATTCTTGGTTCTTAGCAAAGATCTGTTCTGAGAGTCCGGGAGCCTGGGAGGCTCCCAATATGTGTCCCATCACCAATGGCCCCAGACATGTTTGCTTCCTGTGTGTACACTTTATACATTTTTTGTATTCTCCTTTCTTTTATTTTTTTTTAAAGATTTTATTGGGGAATTGGGGGGATGGGAACAGCACTGGGAAATTGGGGGAAGGGGAACAGACAAGTTGCTGTCGTTTTGTTCTTCAGTCTAGTTGTGGAGGACGTTGCTTCACTGGCCCATGTTGGCACCATCGTTGCACTCTTCCCGGGTGAGGCAGATTGGTCGCCGGCCTCTGGGTGGCAGCTCACACCAGCTGCCGGCCACTCACGCTGGCTGCCAGCCACACACGGTAGCTTCTGGCAGCCCCCTGCAGCAGGGGCTGCAGCCTATGCCATCCCCAGGGACTCACAGCAGCCCAGCTCCAGATCGAGCTGTTGTTCAGCATCTTAGCTGTAGAGGGCAGTGTCACTGGCCCCCATGTGGGATCCGAACCGGGGCTCTGCTGGTCAGAGCTGGCATTCCAAGCCAGCTCTTAACCAATGCGCCACTCGGCCGGCCCTGTATTCTCCTTTCTATTGGTACTTTTTTGTAGTAAAAACAGCCTGGATTCTGGTGTCCAACAAAGCAGTTAAAATCCTCTTAAAATCTCTCAGAGCCTCAGAGGTCTCATCCTTAAAATGGGTGAAAAATGCCAGCTCACGGGGCTGTTGTGAGGACCACAATACCTGGCACTGGCATATTGTAACCACCTGACAAGGTGAGATACCAAAATGTTAATATAGTGTGTAAAGTAAGAGTGATTAGGTTCTGACTGGGGGGCCTATCTAATTAGTAATAACAATAATGGCAAATGCCATGTACCAAATGTTGCACTTGGATTATTTCACTTAATCCCCACAAAGTACTGATGGGGAAGCGACATATGAGATTGAACCACATGAAATTGCTGACTTATGGTAATCTTATATGGTTCACCCCAGTATTGTTATCCCCATTTTAAGAGGAGGAAACTGGTGATTTATAATATAGAGTCGATAACTTGTCTGAAGACACAGCTTTTCATTGTGGGCCCTGTGGGTTGTTTGTTTGTTTGTTTGATCCTGGTAAAGTTCTTTTGATGGAAAGATCCAGAAAAGATTTCGGCATTACCCCTCCCTGTGCTTTTCCATCCAGCTTTATTCTTCAAACCAGAAACTGGGCCATGCAGCCTGACAGAGCTTTTGGGCTGCCCCTGGGTGTGAGGAACTGCCAACATGTTAGAATTTCTGGGACACATCAGTGGTTCAAGAGGATCAAGGGATGGATGGTTATGAAACCAGGAATGACCTGGAAAAAGGGGCTTTGGGGTTTGTGGAGCTGACCAGAAGGCTGATTGTCCCGGGTGCAGATCAGAGATGGCAGCAAGAGAGAGCAGGATTGCAGGCTTTTGGGACCAAAATCTGCGCTCCTCCCTGGCTGTGTGACTCTGGACAAGTATCTTCCCCCTTTCCGCGCCTCCATTTACTGATTGGGGTACTGACACCTTTCTATAATACAAGGCATTTTTTTGGGGGGGGGTTGGCTTAAAAAAAAAAGTTTATTCTCTCACAGTTCTGGAGGCCAGAACTCTGGAATCTAGGAGTTGTCAGGGTTAGTTCTGTCTTGGAGGCTCAGAGGGAGAATCTGCTCCATGCTAACTCTCCTAGCTTCAGGTGGTTGCCTCTGCAAGGCTATTGACAGGATCAGCACAGGTATACATGAGGGGCTTGGACCAGAACTTGGTGTACAGTAGGTGCTCAATCCACAATGACTTCAACCATCATTATCATGAAGGAGAAGATACTTGCGCTGCATCTGGATGGGGAAGTTTGCCAGATGGTGCAGGGTGGCACAGGGCTTCCCTGGTAGCCCCGTGCCACGGCCTGCAGGGAGGAAAATGTAGGGGGCGGTGAGACCTGGAAGGAGAGGGTGGGGAGCAGCTGGAAAGGTGTCCACATCTGTCCTTGAAGGCCAGGCCTGGGGGTTGGGACTCTTGTCCTGGGACACTGAAGAGATAGGTCTGGGTTTGGACTCAGACATCCAAACGCTAGGTCTGGTGCTCCTTCCTCACCTGGGGTTCCCTCCCTCCGTTTGGTCCCCTGACCCCTTCTTCCCTGCCCCCAGGACCTCCATGGCTCCGTGCAGCGTGTCTGCCAATTCCTGGGCCGGCAGCTGAGCGAGGAGGCACTGAGCTCCGTCGTGGCGCACTCGGCCTTCAGTGCCATGAAGGCCAACACCATGTCCAACTTCACACTGTTGCCCCTCAGCCTGCTGGACCAGCGCCATGGTGCATTCCTCCGGAAAGGTATGGGGGCTCTGGGGTGCTAAGCCCCACTGGGACACTGTCCAGCTGTGTGGCGTGGGCAAGTTAACCTCTCTGGACCTCAGCTTCCCCAGCTCTGAACAGAACTGCCTTCACGGGGTCACTGTGGACCAAGGATTGACTCCATACACAGGGCTTAGCATGGGGTGGGCCCAGGACACAGCAGGGGCTTCGGATGTGCCTGCCACCCCAGGCCTACTGCTGTTCCTCAGAGAGCTCCAAAAGGGAACAGAACGCCCATGTGCACAGCCACAGCCAGCTCTGAACCGCTAGGAGGCTATCCGGAGTCTTCGTGAATCCTTCTTAGCATTAACGTTCACCCAAGAAACATTCAAGTGTTGTATTATGAGGTGAGGGTAGGAGTGGGTTAATTTCCTGTTGCTTCTTGCTAACAAAATACCAATTTAGTGGCTTAACACAGCACGCATGTACTCTCTCACAGTTCTGGAGGTCACAAGTCCACAATGAGTCTCACTGGGCTAGAATCAAAGTGTCCTAAGGACTGTGTTCCTTCTGGAGGCTCTAGGGCAGAATTGTCCTCTGCCTTTTCAGTTTCCAGGTCTGCCTGCATTCCTTGGCTCATAGCCCCTTCCTCCATCTTCAAAGCCAGCAGTGTAGCATCTTCTGACTCTGACCCTCCTGCCTCCTCTTCTAAGGACCCTGGTGATTAAGTGGGGTCACCCAGATAATCCAGGATCATCTCTGCCACTCTCCCATCTCAAGATCTTTAACTTAATCACATCTGCAGAGTCCCTTTTGCCTCAAAAGGTCACTTATTCACAAGTTCCAAGGATTAGGACATGGACATCTTAGGGGGGGGTCATTATTCAGCCCACTACAGGGAGCCCCCCCAGAAACCTCACTGGGGGTGTCATGTAATATGTGGTATGCACACTTTCCAAAATTCAAAATACTGTGATCCAAGTGACATTGGCCCCAGGATTCCAGGTAAGGGTGGAGCCCCATGATGAGATAAGCAACCTGAGGCTGGGGGGATCTCATGCCGGGGGGCACAGGGGACTAGCAGGGTTCCCGCCCCTTGCCTGATCAGTTGCTGTATGTTTGAGTGATTCTTTTGCAAACAGTCAGCATGATGCCTGGCACTGAGTGAGTTCATTCCCAATGTCACAGCAATAGCGGAAGTAGTATAGAGTGTTGCAGGAGCACTAGGGTGAGGAGGCCCTGTTCTAGTCCTTGAGGTTAGGGACAGGTCGCAAGGAGGACACAGGGGCTGTGGAAGGTGTGCAGGAATGTTACATGGGGAGGCGGATGTTCTGGGCAGAGAGATTTAAGGGGTCAGTGGGTAAAGTGAAGGAAGGGGAGAGGCCTGCTGACAGGATGAGCAGGGCAGGGGGGAGCCAAAGGCCGGAGGGTGCAAGAATGGTGCCCAGGGGTCTGGCCAGGTGACTGGTGGCCAGGGTGAGTCAGCCATCACAGGAGAGAAAGGGGCAAAATGGAGATGGGGCCAGGGGAAGGATGGTGCTTCTGGCACAGGGAACAGCATGGTCAAAGGCCCAGATGTGGGGAACAGGGTGCTGGGATGTTGGGGCTGGGATGACGCACCGGTTGCTCCTCACCTTGCATCGCTCCTTCCCCGCCAGGAGTCTGCGGAGACTGGAAGAACCACTTCACGGTGGCGCAGAGCGAAGACTTCGACCGCGTTTACCGCGAACAGATGAGGGGGATGCCAACCTTCCCCTGGGACGAAGACTCCGAGGATGCCAGTGCGGACCCCGACTCCAGCCCCAGCCCAAGCCAGGCTTCCGAGACCCCCCACCCGTGACCCTGAGAATAAATGCATCGCTCCTGCCCCGGCTCCTCAATGTGCTGTGGAGGTGGTGTGCCGTGGGGCGGACAGCAGGGGGCGCGCGAAGATGGGAGGAAGCTGGGTGAGGACCCTGCGGCCAGCACCCAGGGCCTTGGGAGGGTGAAGTCTTCTCCCCCACCTGGCACACCAACGGTGTCGGTGACTCAGAAGCCCCGCCCAGAGGCAAAGGTGCTGCAGGGAGGCCAGCGCTGACTCCCTCAGGGCAGGGTGCTGGGGCCCAGACTTCTTGGGTACTTGGGGAAGAGGGAGCTGGGGACCAGGACTCCTGGGCCTCGAGGAGGAGGGGGCCAGGGCTGGACTCCTGGGTCTCCCTCTCGGCTGTGGAAATGCAAGTTTCTGGCATGAAGTGGCTTTATTCTGAGTAGAGGTAAAAGGGAGCCCCAACAACTCACCCCTTCGCACCCACAAAACAGTTCCAGCACCTGCTGGGTCCCCCTCCATGGCTCTGAGTCATTCCCCAGCAGGTGTGGCCCCACGGATCTCCAGTTCCTCATGATTCAGCTCTGCTCCCCAGATTAGCGTCTCTCTTTCCTTCCTCCCCTTGGCCAAGCTCAGTACCCAAGCTCTATTTACCCGCACTCCTCAGCAGGTGGGTCAGGAAGCGCCCCTTCTGTCCCAAGGATTCCCCACGTTCACCGCACACAGCCCAGCATGAGGACCACTCAGCCAGGCCTCCTCTCAGAGAGGTTCTGATGCAGCCGGAACCAGATATGCACTGTTCCAGGACCCCAGCTCATCCAGACATTCTACCCATTTTCTAGACTGTGGCATTGAGGTTTAGAGTGGGCATGGGCTTTGCCCAAGTTCTAGAATAAGTGGGGGGGAAAATCCCTTCTGCTTCCCAGTCACTGAGGCCAGAGGTGCAAGAGAGACGCGAGAGCTTCAAGCTGACCGAACTCAACTCCAACTCTCCTCGGACAGACAGATGGGCCAGCCCAGTTTGGCTCTGGCTCCTGTCAGGGTCGCCCCCTGAGTCCTGCCTGAGTGGCCCAGTCCGGTTGCCGGCTGCCCCTAGGTTCCAAGGGTTTGGACGCAGCATTCTCACCAAACCTCCTTCGGTTGGGGGACATATAGTGGAAATGGCGGGTAGAGATGAGGGGCAAGGGGCCACCCCAGGGCTGGAACCCGGCCTCACCCCTGGGGGCCCCCCCAGCACCCCGCTGCCTCATCAGGGCCTTGGCTGGGGTGTCCTTGGAGCCCCAGGACTTCTTGAGCTGTGGAGGGAAAGAGAGGGAGGTTGAGAGCCAGCTCCTGGGAACCCAGAGCCAGGGAGAGAGAAGGTGAAAGGATGGAGGAGGTGGTCAGGGGGAAGGAAGGCAAGGAGGCAGAGGTGAAACAGGAAGGTGGGAAGTGAAAAACCAAGTAAGATGGGTGGCAGGAGAGGATGGAGAAGGTAAGGGAGTAGAAGGGGGTGGTGAGAGCAGACTCCCAGGGGCTGAGTCCAAGGAAGGGAGGAGGTGAGGGAGACAAGAACGAAAGGAGGAAGGAGGTGAGACAGGAGGGAGAGACGGCACAGGAGGAGGGAGGGGAAACTCTGAGGGGAGGTGAGAAGGTTCCTGAGCTTCCAGAGCCAAGAGATGAGTGGGGAGGCCTGAGACCACCAGACCTCCAGAGGGAGCGAGGAGCTTTATCCACCCCCTGCAGTTTTGCAGCTGGGAAGGAACAGGAAACAGCAGGCAGCTGCCTGCAAGGGGGGTGGGGGGGAAGCAAATATTTGCCAAGGGAGGTGATGCTGGGTGAGGGTGGCTGAGGACTAGGTGGAGGCGAGGACCTTGCCCCTACCCTGCCCATCCCCCTTCTCCCCTGGGACTGAGGGAGGTGATGCCTGGGAAATTTCTCCCTCACCCTCGGGATAGGCCTTTAGCTCCCACTTAGCAGATGGGGAAACTGAGGCTCGGAAGGGGCACAACTCACAGAGGGACTGTCCCCTAGGTCTGCCCGCATCCAGGGTGAGTCTGCCTCTTTTTCCCTCACGACTCTGCTCTTACCCTCTCAGCAGCCAACTTTACAGCTGAGGACACTGCCTAAGGTTCCCCAGAGAATTGCAACAGTCCCTGTCGAAACCCCAGTTCCTAAGCAGCTAGGAGGGAATGGTCCCCCTCTGAGTTCATGACACTTGAATCCAGGAAGGGAGGCAACCAGGGCTGAGTTCCAATCATCCCTGGTGCCTCAGTTTCCCCACCTGTGAAATGGGTGGGTAGAGAACTGAATAACATCTACCTGCTGGGGTTGTGGCAAAGGTTAAATTTAACCATCTCTGTGAAGGCGCTTGGCATGGAGCCTGGCACGTGGCAAGGTGCCCACAAAAGACCATTGTTTTAACTTTGGGCAAGTTACTTGACCTCTCTGGGCCTCAGCTCTCCCATCCGTGAAAATGAGTGCAATAGGCAGATCACTTCACTGACCTGAGATGAGGAAGTCGTGAAACAAATACAAATAAATTCCATTTGGGGAATTTATTATAAGAACAATTATTATTCTATTTCATGCTGTTGGCTCCTCCTCCCAACTAAACTGGGGATGGGACAACCACTCAGCCCATTTCCTAGAGGAGAACACTGAGGTTCAGAGAAGTCTAGTCCATACCCCCAGGCTCTCACAGTTGGTGTATCATGGCAGGATTTGTACCCAGGGCTCTCAGGGACTCCGCCCTGTGCCACCAGGTGCTCCCCCACCCAGCACACAGTAGGGGTACAGGAAATGGATGTTGCGACTAGGAACTCAGGTGAGCAGCTTGCCTCTCTGGGGCCAGGCACATAGTAGGCCCTCAGAAAACAGGGCAGAGGCCCTGGAGACCAACTGCATAACCTTGGGCAAGCACCTTCCCCTGAGCCTCAGCTGCCTCGACCCTCTTCCGCCACTCTCACTCTCAGGCCAGCAGCCAGGTCTTACCTCATTGTCACCATCACTGGAGCCCGACAGCTGGGACAGGCGGCTCAGGTCCCATAAAGAGCGGCTGGGCCGGGCCGGAGGGCCGCTGGGGGTACGCGCGTGCTGGACGCTCCTCAGGATATCGCTAAGCGCAGGCCCTGGGATAGCCGAGGTCTCCTCTGTGTCCCCCTGGAAGACTCGGCAGGCGGCCAGGCGTTGAGCCAATGGTGACACATCGGGCAGTGGCGGTGACATGGGGGCCACAGAGCGGCGGTGGGCCACATGGTGTGGGCCACGAGCCAGCTGCAGCCCCCCCAGGGTGCTGATGAAGGGGCTCTGGGTGGGTGCAGGTGGGAGTGGCCAGGAGGCCGCGTAGAGTGTCCGGAACTCGCGGCTGAAGGCGACAGCAATCTCACCGGTCAGCAGGGTCACCAGGCCGCGGTGCAGGCGTGAGTCGCTCCATGTGAAGCTGGGTGGCATGGAGAGGGGGTCAGGACCTCCACACAGCCCCGGAGGCCTGGCCTGGACATCACCAGCCCCAAACCTGGTCTCAGGGCAGGCTGTGTGACCATGACTTTGGGCAAGTCTTGCCACTCCTCTGTAGAACGGGAACCACTGGGGTACCAACCCCAGAGGGTTGATGTGAGAGCACGTTAAGATATTAAAACTATCATCTAGAATCAGACTTGAGTTTAAACCTGAGCTTTGCCTGTCCCGAGGGACGCCTCAGTTTCCCTGTCTGGAAAGAGATGAGGTTTGAATTTCTGACACCCACAGGGGCTGTTTTAAAACTCAGCTGCTTCCTATGACTGACATTTATAGCATATGCTGTGTGCCAGGCTCTGGCTGTGCCTGCTCTGTGCCTGTTTGCTCTGTGCCTGTTTGCTCGCCTGGAAGATGGAGCTAATACAGAAGAAGATTCAAACAAGAGAACACAGGTCAAGTGCCCTGCACAGTGCCTGGCACGTGCCCAGCCTATGATCTGTGGTGAGCAGTGCCCTTCCGAGTCCTGTCATCACGATGGTTGCTATTTAAAGCATCTAGCACTGGTCCTGCACACAGCAGGGATTCAATAAATGCCCTCTTTGGAATTAAATGAACCTGGGTTCTAATTCTGGCTTGGGGAGCCTTGGACACATCACTTTCTCTTCCTAAGCCTCAGTTTGCCATGGCTAGCTCTTGTACCTGGAGGGCGTAGAACCCAGCACCCATCAGAGCGGACAAGTTAGTGGCTGTGTGTTCTTACCTGGGCAGGGTGGCGATGTCCACGCTCCCTGACAGGTCAACCTGCCCCTCAGATTGTGACACCCCTCCCCCACCTATGACCTCACTTCTAGAGCAGCCAATGGGAATCCTGAGGGGTCTGTGAGGTCCCCCTATTCCGCTCCACAAAGACTCTTGTGGAGCAGCAGCCGCTAGCTCGTCTATGTCCCACAAAAGCTTCTGAGACCCGAGGACTCAAGAGCTGTGGTCACGACGGAGCTCCTGAGACGGACGCTGAGCATTCGGAACTAAGGACATTTCAAGTGCTGACCCTGAGAGGCCAGAACCAAGGGCTGAGGTCTTGTGGGCGTGAGGAGAGTTATTCAGCAGTTCCAGGAGGCCCAAGAAGCCCACGGCCTGGCTAGGGCACTGTCACTGTCGCCAGGCCACCATGGTCCTTGGCTGGCTGCTGCTTCTGGTGGCGGCGTTGCCCCAGGGCACAACAGGTGTCAAGGAGTGCATCTTCTGTGAGCTGACAGACTCCTCAAACTGCCCTGGCACCCACATGCACTGTGGCGACGACGAGGACTGCTTCATGGGCCAAGGGACATCCCCAGGCCTCAGCCCCATCATCAACAAAGGCTGCGTGAGATCGACTTCGTGTGGCCGTGAGGAGCCTGTCACCTACCAGGGTGTCACCTACAGCCTCATCTCCACCTGCTGCTATGGCCACCTTTGTAACAAGGGCCCCATCCCTGCAGGCAGCTGGATGGCAGGGGCCACCAGCAGCCTGGCACTGGACATGCTGCTGCTGCTGCTACTCTATTAGCTGTGACCCATGTCGAGGGCAAGGCCTGGGACTGGTCTCCCAGTTCCACTGCTCCCCATGCTCCCTGCTTCCACCCCTTCCCCCATTAAATGGCCAGAGGCCCTGGACAACCTCATGTGGCCCTTGCTCATTCCATTCTAGGGCTGTCCACCAGGAGCCCAGGAATCCGTGAAGCACCCTGATGCCTGATTTAATGGTGGGGACCATGCCCAGTGTGTTTGACCATACTACTGTATTTCATTGCTTCTAAGATGTGCATCTTTTCACATTTTGATTAGGATGTTTCCTTTCATCTGTGGCACCTAGAGTCAATGAAATATGGTAATAATAATAATAACATTAATAAAGAGCAGCTGACGTTTATGGAGTACTTCTGATGTGATGTGTGAGGCATCACCATCTCACCGAATCCTTGTGCAAAGGTGGGGACGGAAGATTCTCTTCGAAACATCTCAGTCTCAATGCTGTTGGTTCTCAAAGTGTGATCCCCAGACCATTAGCGTTAGTATCAACCAGGAACTTGCTAGAAATGCCAATCCTTGGGCCCTGTCCCAGGCTGGCGGAATAAAGGTGGACCAGAAATCTGTGTTTTAACAGATGCCAATGCACGCTCAAGGCTTGAAAGCCACAGGTCTAGGTCAGCAGTTCTCAACAGGGCACTTCTGCCCATCTGGGGTGGGAGGGAGGTGGAGCTGCACCTGGTAACATTGGGGGACATTTTAGGTTGTCATAACTAGGGAAGGGGACGCTACCGACATCTACTGGGTAGAGGCCAGGGACGCAGTTCAGCATCTGACAATGCCCAGGAAAGCCCCACACACTTAGTCATTGGCCCCAAATGTGAGTACTAACTCTGTTGTGAAACCTTGCTCTCAAGGCACTAACCATATCATCCTGTTCTGTTAGGGAGAAAACGGAGGCACAGAGAGGTGACGTTGTTGCCCAGTCACATAGCTAGTCACCAGCAGAGCTAGGATTTGAACCCCAGGCATCTGGGCCCAGAGTTCATGTGTCCCTGCCACCATGCTATGATCCAATGAGGTATGTACTCATTTTTCACACTTTCCAGATGGGGAAACTGAGGCTCAGAGCGAGGGAGGCCCAGTGTCACAGAACTAAGAAGTTGCAGAGCCAGGGTCCAGAGTGGACTAGACCCCAAAGAGAGCAGAGGAGTAGCATCAAACGGTCTGAGGACCAGGCCATGGCCCATTTGCACAGCAGGTCTCATTTCTTTCCAGACTCTCTGAGAGGTGGCGTTACTCATCCCAGGCAGAGCTTGGACTCCAATCCAGGTCCTCCTCGTTTTGAAACCCCCACACACTAACTGAGGGCCCCATTTTCCAGGTGAGGAAACACAGAGTCAAAGAGATGAAGACTTACCCCAGGCCACTAAACAGGCCAACCACAGGGCCAGGGCGGGACCAGGCAGGCCTGGCTCCAACCCCAAACCCGTCCTGCCTGACAACAGCTCCTATCCTGGCAGAGTGTTTAGACCCATTTCACAGATGAGGAAAGAAAGGCTGGGAAGCGGATCCAACTGCTCTCTGAGCAAGCTGAGGGAGAATTGGAGACAGGATATTGGGCAGTGTGGCGAGGGAGGCCATACCTGTAGGATCCTGAGATGACCCTCTCCCCATCCAGCAGCACAAACTTTTCCCGCACGCTGCCGTTCACCTGCCGTCCCCCGCGGCTCTGGAAACTGCAGCCCCGCACAACACGGATGTCCAGGTTCTGGGAAGTAGGAGGGGACATCTTTGCTCAGGTCAACCCCAGAGGCCTCCACTTGAGGGTCCCTTCAGGCTGGTCCTGCCTCGGGGAGCCCATGACTCCAGCTACCCCAGAGCCACCAACATCAGGCCTCAGGGGTCTTTTGGAGACTCCTCTAACTCAGAGGAACCCCCGTGGGAAGGCCCATCCCTGCTTCCCCCAATGCCATGGGCATCAGATCTCACGGGACCCTCTCAGCTGGCATCAACCTTGATGAGCCAGGACCCCAGGGAAGGGTCTGCCTCCCCTGCCCCCAGCACCAGGAGAATGAGGACTCAGAGGTCCCTCCGGACAGGCCCCTACCTCAGTGGCCCAGGGGTTCACCCCTAGCTGCTGAGCCAGCGTCAGGAAGGCAGGCAGCTGCTGGCGGTCCAGGAGCAGGTAGACAGGCACCCAGCGGCGTGTGGCAGCGTCCACCAGGTCCAAAAGCAGGTCTGGGTCAGTGAAGATGTCCATGACAACAGCTACCAACTGGGGGTAGACAGAGCAGCTATGGATGAAGCTAGGAGCTTGAGGGACACTCAGAAGGTGGGGCCCTGGGAGTGAGGTGCTCTGCGGACAGGAATTTAAGGGCCTGGCCTCTGTGGGATGTTCATACAATGCCCACATGTGAATGAGAAGAAGGCAGCCCTCCCTGGAGACCCCGGCCTCTAACTGCTGGAAAGCTCTCATAAATCACGTCGCAATAGTGAACAGTGTCTCCTGAGCTGTAATACTACAGGTGGCCTTGCTCCAGGGGTCAGTGGGCTGGAGGCCTTTGCAGGGCACTGTGGGTAACTGCACAGTCCTCAGGGGTGCCTTGGATGCCAGGGTGGGAGGGCTGACTTGCTTGGCCACCAAGGCTAGCTCTGGGATCTGGGGGTGCCAAGGGCCTGGATCATGCAGGCAGGAAAAGGTAGTGGTGATGAGCGTGGACTTACCGGCCAGATAGCCTGGGTTCAGGTCCCCGCTTGGCCACTTACAGGTAAGAGACTTAACCTCCCATGCCTTGGCTTCTCCATCTCCTCAGTGGGCACAGTAAGTCCCAACCTCACAGGGCACTCATGAAGATTACACGTTAACCCATGTAAAGCACTTTGTGTGAGAGCTGGCAGACACAAAATCTGTTAAAGAGCTGGCTGACCAGGAAGCTGCAGGGGAGACATCTGGGCCCTTCCTGCAGACACCTGCCCTGGTGGGAAGGCGTGGAAGGGATGACAGCTCTAGGGGGTCATTATTAGGTCCAAGAGGCATGGATGCCTAAGGGCACTCAGATCTTGGGGAGATAGTGGGGACCCTCACATCTAAGAGGGTAAAAATGAGGTCTAGGAGTGAGGACTCCTGGGTTCCAGGGGTGTGGATTCAAAAGTCCCAGGAGGGTTTGAGTGAGAATGCCTGGGTTCCAGGAAATGTGTACTCCCAGGTCCGAGTCTGGGGAATGGACACCAACCGCCCCTGAAGCCCCCACCTTGCCGGCAGCCTGGATTTCCTGGCGCACCAGTTCCTTGAGGGGCGGGTGGCCCTCGCCAGGTGGCTGGGTGTATAGCTGCGCCCGGGTGATACCCTTCCAGCCCGAGTCTTCTGGCCAGCCCAGCCGAAGCATGGGCACTGGCTCCTCTGACTGGCCAGGCCAGTAGGTCAGGCTGCCAGAGTCCCCATTGGTGGCAGTGGCTCCCTCTGCTGTCCTGCCGGGCTCTTGCTTGGCTGCTGTCCAGTCCTCGGCAGCCGCTGCCAGGCCCCGGAGCTCATCCCCACTCAGGAAGGGCTGCAGCCCTTCGCGCTGCCTGCAGGCCTCAAACGCCTCTGTGCCCCTGCTCAGCAGAGCCTCAAGTGCCAACCGCTGGCCCTCAGAATACAGGAAGCAAGGGCTGGTCTCGGTCAGGGGCAGCTCCCCAGCCCCTGACTCCACTTCTTCCAGTGCTGCCAGCTGGGAGGCCGCCATTAGGCCACTCAAGTGGGAGGACCTTAAGGCTGGGCGTCTAAGGGTTTGGCCGTCTCTGGGGCACTGACCATCTGGGGGGGGTCTCCTGACAGGCCAATACTAAGTAGCCACACAAGACTTCCAGGGCCCTGAGAAAAGTCCAAATGGCTCCCTATGCTGTCCCTGGCTCACCGTCCTGACAACCAGGCTGACCAAACGACTGACCATCCAATGTGGGGGCTGCTCAGACCAACCTCCCGCCAGCCTCCAGCCACCACCGTGACTGGTTGGCCATCTGACCTTCCCACCAGCTGTCTCTGTCTGGTTGACCCCACAACTGGCCCTGTGTGTGGGTTAGACCACCTGACACTCTCCAAACTTTGTGACCTGTCAGCTGTCCATCTCTGCTCCAGTACACAACCTCCAGCCTGCTGGCCACACGATGCAACTGACCCTTCAGCTATCTCAGGATCCTTCAGAAGTTCCAGCTAACTGCCTGACCATCTCCAGGAAACAGGCTATCTGCCTATTTGTAACCTCTGGAATGTCCCTAGTTAAAGGGATACTGGGTTGCCTGTTTGCCCCTGGCCAACAGCACGTCTGACTCTCTGGCTGGCTCTTAGATTGTCTGGAAGACATCGATTATTTCCAGCTGACAATCTCAATATCTGACTGCCCAGTGGAGCTCCCAGCTGTCCAGTGGATGTTTCTCCTGCCAAATGGCTGACTGGCTCACCAGCTCTCACTGGCTGGCCATCCTGGGCACCTCCTCTCAGCCTTGGAGAAATGCACTCTATCTCTCAGCCTTGGCATCGCCCTTCCCCAGCCAGGGAAGTAGGTCAGTCTCCTTTGTAAACAGAGGACCCTGCTCCTGGGCCTTCACACCGGCTCAGGCTGCTACAGTGGAGGATGTGCTCAATAGGGTGGTTAACTACCATAGAACCGGCCCATGATCTCCATAGCCAATCTAGGCTGAGGGCCCGACTCACTGGCCATCGTTCCTGAAATGGGCTGCTCCTGCCTGTCCCCCCGGCTGCCCTCTTATCTGCGCTGATCCCTGGCAGAGCTGACCCCAGTCTGGGTTTCAGCCTGAATCCCACTATCTCCTGCTGTCTACTTCGTAGTGGAATAAAGGACCACTCTATATCCTTTGAGGCTCCTGACCCAACCTCTGTAACCCAGCAGGCCCTCCTTCCAATCCCAGCACCCAGGCGCTCCCTTCCTCCACGGCACAGCAACAAACCCTGCAAAAAGAAGGAAGAGGAATAAAGCCAGGCCCCTACCCTCCTCCCACCTCATCCAGCTCTCCATCCCCTTCCCTCCTCTTGCCTTTTTGGAGGACAGTCTGATCAGGGGGCTGGAAATCTGCTTTTATTTCTGCGGTTCTTCCGGAAATCTGGCCTCATTCATCAGGTTTCAGCCTTGGATCCGGGGAACCCAGCCCCTTATGTAAACAGGGAAGGGCGCACATAGGTCCCAAGTGAAGGTCTGGGGTGCAGGACCCAGTGTATAAGGTTCCAATCCAGAAACACACACCCACTGGGCTGCTTGCCAAGGCCAGAGGCCCACAAGACCCAGGCTTCACAGGAGTGCACCTGTTCCCATATACCCCTGCCACCATGGCCTCACCCGGTTTACTTTCCTGTCTAAGCCCCGCCTAGCCCAGTGCAGATGGAAAGAGGAGCACCAGTCCTTTAAGTGGGTGTGGGTGTGGCTAATGCTAGGAAGCAGGTGCTGAATCACCTGACACCTGGCTCTTGGGAAGGAGGTGGGGCTTCTGGAATAGGTGACTGCAAGAGTCCAACAGGTGCGCCAAAGCTCAAGACCGCCAGAGGGAGCCTGCAGGCTGAAGCAGAAGGTGCACTTTGATTGGACACCTGGGACCCCAGGACTCCGCCAGGGCACAACTGGAAGGGCTGGTGTCCATGGAGACAGGCTCGGAGCCCAAGTTCCCAAACCAAATTCATTCTTGCCCACAGGCTCCAATCCACTCCCAATCCCATCCCCCAATAATACACACAGGGCTGTCAGCTTCCAAAAGATTTTTAATAACGAGGCAGGATCTGGGGTTAGTTTTTGTAGCCACGACTGGCCCTTCGGCCTCTGGCACGCTCGAACTTCCGGCCTTTGGAGCGCACATAGGGTCTGCAGGGGAGAAGGGGGAGGGTGAGAGTACGCCCAGGGTACAGATGGGAGTCAGGGGTTGCTTGCACGCTGGGGACTCAGAGCAGTGATGCTGGCTCTAACGGAGTTAACACAGGTACACCAGAAGGGGGCCTCAGTCAACCCAAGCAGGGGCAGTGGTGACACCAAATGGGGTGCTTGAAAAGCCTGGCAGTGTAGGAAGCTAAGATGCCAGGAGTGGCTGCTGAAGCACTGCACCAGGCCCTCCACCCAGGAGATGCCAACTCAGCCTAAGACAGGGCCTGCATCTGTAACGCTGTCTGTGCAGGGCCCTCAACACCCTGAGAAACACAGCTTGAAAGCCGAGTCTTGAAAGTGGGTACCATGAGGTGGGGAGTCCAGCCTCAAGCTGGTCTAATGTAAGAAACAGAAACAGCTGGAAGCATGCAGGACTGGGTTTACTTACTTGGTGTGGCTGTGCGGAGTTCCAGGGGCCTTGCCAAAATGCCTGTACACCTCTCGGCCCTTGCGAGGACCTGGGAAAAGGGAAGAAGGGGTGGGTCAGGCAGAGACCCAGCACCCAGACCTCCTGCAAACAGCCCCTTCTACAGGGCTCAGGCTGATTGGGAGGGAGGGGTGGGGCACGTCCCTGACCTCCCAGGCCCGAGAAAGTAAAGGCTGCCAGCAGTCACATATCCTCATTCACACTGGGTCGCGGCCCCACCATGGGAGCCACTGAGCATCACTCACCAGAGAGCAGGACAGTGCCACAGCCCTTGGGGGAGTCCAGGGCCAGCTGGTCAAAGGTGAGGATCTTGCCCCCGGCCTTGAGGATGCGGCTCCGGGCACGGCTGCTCACACGAAGTGCACACACCTGGGAGACACAGGACAGGTGTGTTCCGAGACCCCTGCATGGCCACCCAGGAATTGCTGGGACTTACTGTACACTGCCCTGGGCCCAGCGGAGAAACCCCGGCTACTTGTTCAGCCTGATAACCAACACCATCAACTATTAGAGGGAGCTTCCTGAGCTGACAACAGCTGGTTTTTACCACTTTTAGAACCGGCAGCTATTACATGTCACGAAACTGAGACATAAAAGAGATCCAGGACTTTGTCCAGAAGTGACAAAGTAGCAGAGAAATTTAGATTTGAACCCAGGCTGCCTGGTTCAAGAGGCAGCACTGTCAACAGGGCTCCAGAAGAGGCTTGCTTGGCTCAGGGACACCACCATCAATGATGCCAATGACAAGCCCCCTTCAGTCTCCAAAGCCACCAGGTAGGTGTGATGCCTGCCTCACCCAGAGGTGAGACTGATGACGCAGCACAAGCGTGAGGGCCCCACAGCAGACAAAGATGAGCCAAGTCTGCAGGACTCCACCCTGAACCCATGCTTTTGACACACCCACTGTGCTGAGCCCCTCCCCACTCACCTTCAGTTTGGGGATCTCCTGGATACGCACATCATCGGTTATAGTCCCTACAACCACAGCAGTTTTGCCCTCGCGGCCAGGAAGCTTCATCTTACGGATCTTTGGGGGAGGAGAAATGCACATTAAGAAGTCCCTTCTGGTGTTTAAATCCAATCCCACTGCTTTGAGCACCCAAAAGACCAACAGTTGTGCCCTGATTAGTTTAAACCCACTTATGGCACATCTCTCAAACTAGCATTGACCTAATCGCAGGTTCAGTCCGGGAAAATCTCCAGAAAATGCAAGCACAGATTTTTCAACAGACCTCTCTCCTATAGAAGGTTGTTGACAAGTAAGGCTTTGTTACATGACTTGAAGGCTCAAGGAAAACTCAGTCACTGTAACTACCCCCACCTCACAATGAGAAGGAAAACAAGAGGCTAAGCCAGTTGAATACCCAGTTGGCTATTAAGCTACAACCTGAGAATCAGAGCTCCAAGCCTGCCCTCCCAGAGCCCAGCTCCGTATCACCCAGTCATCCCCCCAGGTTAGCTCTTCTCCCCTCAAGAGCCCCTCACCATTCGGGAAAGGGACAAAGGTGGCCGGTTGGTGCGACTCATGAACAATCTCTTCAGCACCACCTGGTTGAAGGTGGAGTTGGTTCGTCTGGCCAGAAACCTGTATAACTAGATGGGAAGGGAAAAGGAGGAATGAGAACCCAGGGCAGCCCACTTCCTCCCTCCCAACTTGCTAAAGAATGGGCAAACATATACTTTTTGTCTGTCTCCCACTGAGGTCCAGGGAGAGAGCCGGCCCAGGTCTCTCCTGGTCAGGGACCCAGAAAATTCCCACCCCACCCCCTAGCTGTATACAGATCAGAGGCTGAAAACACTGAACTTCCAGATGCTCTGGGGCAGAACCAGAGATGAGAGCCTACCCTGAAGGCCCCTGCGAGGAGCCAGGGACAAATGCTAGGATGGAGGCCCTGGGAGTTGCAGTCTGGGGTGGCCCTACCCAAAGGTTTCAGGCCCCAAGCTCACCTTGACCAAAAGCCTTAGGTAGATGTCTTGGCTCTTGGGCTCCTTGCGCCGAACCTTTCGGTCTTTGTTATGACGGATGTCGACTCCCTGCGGGGAGAAGGCAAAACCATGGTTAGGTCTGCTGTCAGATTACTCACCCATGACCATTTTCAATTGTTACTTCTCTCCAAGATAAGAGACGGAGTTGTAGTCTCTAAAAAGACAAATCCCAGGCCCAACACTGGGAGTCCTCTACACGTCACTTTAACTACCTTGGGCCTCGGGTCGGCCAGTTAGATCAAGTGGCTAGAGAGCAGGCTCTTAACACCAAGGTTGCTGGTTCGATTCCCACATGGGCCAAGGAGCTGCACCTTCCACAACTAGATAGAAGACAACTACTTGACTTGGAGCTAATGGGGCCTGCAAAAACACACTCTTTCCCAACAAAATTTCTAAAACAAACAAACAAAAATACTCTGGGCCTCAAATAACTGCTTTGCAAAAAGGGACTAATTCTAATGTAAATCCTTCAGCACATAACACACAGTACCTTGAAAGCTTTAACACAGTAGCCACGTTAATTTCACAAAAAAATTGTTAACTCCAGAAGTATTTTTCAACAATTAAGTGTTTAAGTTCCCAATACTTGCTCCCACACATGGAGTGGACCAAAAACATTTACACTAAGAGCAGACGCTAAGTATTATCAAACCTTTATTTAGAAATCAGTCTACACAGAACCAATCTTAGAATGACCATTCATGCACTCCCTGAAACCAAAAACCTTATGAGATAGTTTCCCACTTTAGCGCTAAGAAAACGCTGGGAAGCCCACCATTTCTACTACACTGCCTGCCTGCTTTCCTGGGGGTTTTTTTTTGGGGGGGGGGGGGGGGGGGGGGGAGGGGGAGAACTATGTTACGAATTGTAAAGAACTTCATAATAATAATTCCCACTTAACCAATACTTAACGTTTGCAAAAACCTATGGTAAGCACTTCCTACAACTTAATTCTTCCCAAACTCAAATCTGCGAGACAGATGGAGAAAAGTGGGGCACGGACTGGGAAAGCAAAACCACAGGATGGGCAAAGACCGAGACTCGCACGAGGCCTACCTGGCCCCAAAACCCGGGCACTGGACGCTCGATACCCCCCACCAGAGCCCATCTTTTGAGGGTGGGGAGTGACAGGTCCAAGAAGAGACATGAAAGGCAAAAGATAAGAATGGCTGTGGGACCAACGCCTGGGTCTGAATCTTGGCTCCGCCACTTCTTGACATTTTCTTCCTGGTCGTATCACTTAACCACCTCGTACTTCAATTTGAGCATCTATTCAATGGGCGCTATAACGGAGGAATACGGGAGAGGCTGGAGATAGATATGACTGACCAATCGCTGGTCTTCAGGCCCCGTTAAATAGCATCCCACCGCGGGAGTCGCCTCCTTCATACACCCCTAGAACCCCTGCCTCCCTCTGGCGCGCCCCCAGCCCAAGACCGCGGCGGATGGCGGTGGATAGCAGAGTTCCGAAAGCCTCAAAGCGCGCTCACCATGATGGCGCCTCCTGCTCCACGACGTCCGGAAAGAGAAAACGGAGCAGGAGTGGGCGGGGAAAGCCTTCAGCAAGCGGCGCCTATGATACGTCACATGGGCGCGACGCGGCGCTCTACCGCAACTAGGCCCTCTCTATGGTGAATCAGATGGCCGGCTAGATGGGCATTTCCGGAATAGGGTGAGGCGGGGGGGTGGGGGGGCGGTGAGAGCGGGGGGATAAACAATCAAAGAGGAAAGAAAAGGGGCTACGTCAAGGAGGGAAAGACCAGCACGTCGGGGGCCTCTCTGGCCCTACTCAGTCCCTGTTCTCGATACTCTTCCGGAAGAAAGAGATCTGGGAGAGATGTCGCGCGGAGCTAGGACGACTCATCGTGCGGTGACGCTCTGGCCCGAAGCCGACGGCCTCTCTGTGGCTCCAGGAGGACCGGGCGGGCCGAGTATTGGAGGTGAGGAGGCGGGGCAGGCGGGGCTAGTTTAGACTTCCAGAAAACCTCTGACTGCACGCTTAGGGGATTTCCTTACATCAGGCTGACCTCTGCCTTATCTCGTGCTGCGCTTTCCAAGCGCAGCCGCGGCTCGGAAATCCCTACTTTAGGTCTCACGTCTAACCCGAGATCTTCTTGCTGCCTCCCCGTCTATAGCAGCCAGTATTTCCACCGCTTCTCCCTCTGCCCCCAAATGGACCATTGTTGACCCTTTCTCAGCCTCTGTCACCTAAGGGCTGCTTTTCCCAGCCAGAGAGATTCAAGTGGCCCAGCGGGTTTGTTGTGAGGGATGTGCAAGGTACTGGAGCATAGAGGCACGCTGAGGTCCAGGGCTCGGGAAGTGGAGTTGAGAGAGGGGATGGGTAAAAACTCCTGAAAGAGAAGGGAGTAGAGACTTAGAGGGAGACCGAAATTCAGAGGGGAGGAGGAATGGAGACCCAGAGGGGGAGTGGACAGAGACTTAGGGTAGGGGGAATGGAGACCCAGGGAGTGAGGTGACCTAGAAAGAGGGGGAAGATAGAGATCAGGGAGGAGCAGAGACATAGAACGATGTAGATGCCATCTGTAACCAAATTCAAATCCTGGCTGTGCTACTTAATGAATAGTATAACCTTGGGCAAGTCATTTAATCTCTATGCCTTACTTTCCTTAGCTACAAAAAGGGGATGACAATAGACCTGACACATAGGGTGTTTTTCAGCATCATATAAGTTAGTGAAAATGCTTAGGACAATACACATAATAAGTGCTCAGTAAAAATTAGGCTTCACTCGTATTTATTGGCCCTTAGTGGATGAGACAAGATGAACTGGCTGGGGCAGTGACAAAGCTGACCTCTTCTCCTCTTTTTCTCCTTCCTCAGGGAGGCCCTGCCCCCTTGGGCCTCCAACACAGCCAGGCCTCCTGTAATCTGCTTTTGATACTTGTACTTATTTACCTCTCCTCCACAGAGCCAAAGGCCAGACTTACACTGTGAGGCCTGACTCCTTAACCATACCAACCTCCCATGGCCTGCTACCCAGGGCCAGGGTCTTGCTGATGTGAACACTGCAGAGGGCCAGCAGATGAATGGACACCTTGAAGCACAGAAGCAGTGGGATCAGGTAAGGGTCCATCTGAAAATCAAGATTACAATACCATGGAACACAGTTTCCTCCTCTTCCTTGTCCCTGTTCCCTTGTCTCTGTGACTTGGTCTCTTTTTTTGAGTCCCAGCCTCTTTGGTATGCCTGCCTTTCTTTCTACCAAGGCCTCAAGCTCAGGTGCTGTGTTTCCCTGTCTCTTCCTCTTACTAGGTTTTTGTCTCTGTCTCTCTCTCTCTCTGTCTCTCTTTTTCTCTCTCTCTCTCTTTCTTTCTCTGGGTCTTTCTTTGGCAAATACCTGGTGCTGTTGCTACTCTGGGTTGAACACAAGGTACATTGTTTGGCAATAAATTAACTTCTTCCTCCAGTTATCTTTCTAGCAAGCTCTGTCCCAGTCTCCTTAAGCATGTGTGTTTCTTTCTACAATTCTGTCTGCTTCTAGGTCTTCTGATATTATTCTTGCCTTTATTTCTTTCTATTTCACCATGTCTTTGCCTCTCTTTGCATTCTCTCTGTTGGTCTCAGTTCCTCTCAGCCTCTGGGCCTCCAGTATTCTTCCCCCACTCCCCAACCTAGAGGTCTCTCTCAGATACTGTCTTTCCAGTCTTTCTCCTTGTATCTCTGTCTTGCCCTGTACCGAGTCATTCCCTAAACAGATGTTTTTGTCATGCTGCCTCCACTCTGGTTTGGGCCCAAGGTAAAATAGTTTGATATTAAAAAAAAAATTTGACATACAATATATATTAATTTCAGGTGTACAACAAAATGATTTATTATTTGTATACATTACAAAATGATCACAAGTCTAGTTACCATCTGTCATCATACAGAGTTATTACAATATTATTGACTATAGTCCCCATGCTGTACATTATATCCCTATGGCTTATTAATAATTTGTGAATTAATGAGCCTCTCCTCTCTGGTTTTCATTCCAGAATTGTCTGTCCCTATCTCTGTCTGTGTCCATCGTTTTCTGGGTTTTCTTGAGTCCTTAACCTTGCACATTCTTAATTCTACAGTCTTTGTGTTGCTATGTATATCTTTGCTTTTCTCTGCACCTCTCTCTCTGACTCTTTCTGAAAAAGAGACACTTTTCTCAAGTCTCTTATTGATTCTGCTTCTCGGTCTTTTTTACTAACTCCCTTTGCATATCTCTGGGTCTTTGTTATTTGCATTAGGGTCAGTCTATATGCAGCTGAAGACCACCTTTATGCCCCTTTTTAACAAACTCGATGAATGGGATTGGCCCATTTGCCCTCAACAAAGATGGCGATATAGTCGCTGGCCATTGGGCCGCGATACCCCTTCTGCGCGTGTGTCCTCACCTACAATGGCAGCTAAGCTCGCGAGCGCGATGCCCCGCCCAGTTCTTCGGCTCTCGCGGCAGTCTCTTGCGCCAAACTCGCGAGTCGGCTGGGCCCGCCCTCCGCGCTCCCTCGTTGGTGCGGCTCAGGCCGGCCATGCGGCCATTGGCTCAGCGGATGCACACTCCCCCCCCACACCCCTGGGTCAGATGGGGGCGGTTGGTGCTGACTTTAGGGGCCGCCTGGAGGAGGACCCGGCTTGTGAGGAGGGTGCGGGGGCTGGGCAGGGACCCGGGTCGGGGGAACCGAGGGACCAAGAGGAACGGAGAGACGCAGGCCCGGGACTGGGGTACCAGGGGTGTGGGATGGAGATGGAGAACCAGAACCGGGACTGAGGGATCCAGGAATGTAAATTCAGGTCTGGGAGTGGGTTGTGGAAATCGGGTGTGGTGGTGTGGTGGGTAGCGGAGGCCCGGGACCGGGGGAACCGGAGACAAAGTCTCAGGCTTATGGATTGGGGGTGACGTATGGATAGAAACCCAGGCCCTGCTCTGGGGTACCTGGGGGTGGAGAGAATGGAGAGCAGGCCAGAGACTTGGAGACCCAGAGACAGAGACGCAGGCCCAGGACTGGGGGAAATCTGGGCTCTGTGCCTAAGCCGGATTTGAGGTAAGGGGTGGGGCCTAAGTGTGAGTCCACAGTTCCAAGGTGTGTGTCTGGGGCAAATCTGGGCCAGGGAAAGGTACGGGGCAGGACAGGCAGGTGGCTAGGTGGGTGGGGCAGCGGGGAACAAAGGTGAGTAGGGCGAAGGCTGAAGAAGGGCAGAGGGCAGAAGGAGGGCCTTTGGGGAGGGTACCTCAGACCTGGCTCCCTGGAGAGCTTGCTGCCAGATGCCCAGGTCAGTCCTTAGGGTCCAGCTCTTAGCACCTGTCCCTTGCAGGAGCTTGCATGTGGCTCCTCTAGCTCTCTGACCCCTTAGTCTCTCCATGTCATATCCCTTTTTTAGTCTTGACTGATGTCTTCACCTCCTATCTCCTGCCTCTCCTATCTGCTCTTTTTCTCCCTTTTCTTTCTGGTCCTCAGGAGCCCCTAAACTCACACTCTCATTAAGTATCTTTCATCATCCTAGGTTTCATTTAATTGAAGCTGTTTGTCTCCTTCTCCCTGTGTTTCTCTGGCTCTTGGACCTTAACCTTCTTTTTCTTTGTGTCCAAGTCTCTCCCCCTTGTTACTTTCTCTCCATCTGGAGATATATGTTGTGTTTTTCTCTGTCTTTGCATGTCTGTTTCTTCCTATATCTCTACTATCCTGATCTCTCTCCGTGGCCTTACTTTTCTCCAAAGCTCTTATCATTCAACACCCTATATTTTACTTTTTTATCTTGTTTTTCTGTCTTCTGATTAGAATGTAAACTCCATGAAAGCAGGGATGTTTGTCCTCTTTGTTCCCTGCTGTGTTTGCTGGGCCTGGCACTGATTGGCACATAGAGGATACTGAATCATTATTTGGGGAAATAAATAAATGAATGAATGTTTGTATGCCTGGGTGTGGAGCCTTCAGATGCTGGCCTTCCTGTCCAGCTGATCTCTTCCTTGCATCCGCAGGGTCTCCCCACACTTGTCTGGCCCTGTCTTTGGCGTACCTGTGTCCACCCCTCATTGTCTCCTGCCCACAGGCCTTGCCCCTGCTTCCCTCCAGCGGCCATGGGGGTCCTGGACTTTGACTCTTGCCCTCCTTCCTCCCCACAGAGGTCAAACCAGGAGCTGATCTGGAGTTGGGGCCATAAGCCTAGGAGTGCCCTGGGCGGTGCTGAAGCCATGGCCCCACCACCACCCCCGCCACTAGCTGCCAGCACCCCACTCCTACATGGCGAGTTTGGCTCCTACCCAGCCCGAGGCCTACGCTTCGCCCTCACTCTTACGCCACAGGCCCTGCACATACAGAAGCTGCGCCCAAAGCCTGAAGCCAGGCCCCGGGGTGGCCTGGTCCTGCTGGCTGAGGTCTCAGGCTGCTGTATCCTGCGGAGCCGCAGCCCCTCTGACTCAGCAGCCTACTTCTGCATCTACACCTACCCACGGGGCCGGCGCAGGAGCCGGCGCAGAGCCACACGCATCTTCCAGGCTGACGGGGCGGCCACATATGAGGAGAACCGTGCTGAGGCTCAGCGCTGGGCCACTGCCCTCACATGTTTGCTCCGTGGACTGCCACTGCCTGGGGATGGGGGTGAGCTCCTGGGCAACCTCAGTGTTTTTGCAGATCTCTCCCTCTGTGGGCATCTCGGTCTCTACTTTTCAGTGTGTCTGTGTGATGTGTCTCTCTGGGTCTGTATTGAAAGAATGATACCAGACAGGGATGGGCTACAGAAGGAACAAAATCATAGGCTGAGAAAAATTATTTGTATCTGCTGCTCTCTTGCTAGATTTTTGTCTCTGTCCCCTCCCCCCTTCCATGGGTCCTGACCACAGATGAGTCAGAAGCTCCCGGTCTGATGAAAGCAGCAGACTGAGACGCGATATGTCATCACCCAGGGCAGTCAGAGGTGGCATCTAAAACATTAGCCTTTGGGGCTCCAGAGAAGGCTTTTGGGTAGAGGCCCCTACAAAGGGTCCTCAGTTGGCACAGGAACATAAAGATTCAAGGGTCCTCATCTTTTGGGACTTCCTTGGTCCTCCAGGGTCCTGCTGGCCACTTGGGGGCTGGCCCAAAGGGATGGTGACAGTAAGGGAGCCTTGCACAGTGAAGAAATCTGACCCTGGGATCCGGGTGTTCGGGGTAAAGAAAGTGGAAATCACAGCTCTCCTCTTCCCACACGTGTGCCCAAAGGGCACTGGGATTAGATACCCAACCCCTGCCTTTATCTTCAGTATCTGGGAGAAGTGGGTGCCCTGGGCAGGTGAGGCCTGGGCAAAAAAAATTTTAACTCCCATGAGGCACCGGTGCCAGCCTTCCTGCAGTTTGCAGTTACTGTTTCTGAGGTGAGGTGCCTGGGTCTCTGACATCTGTAGACTTCTTCCCCTCTCTCTGCAGAAATCACCTCTCAGCTTCTGCCAAGGCCACCCCGATTGCTCCTATTGGTCAATCCCTTTGGGGGGCGGGGCCTGGCCTGGCAGTGGTGTAAAAACCACGTGCTGCCCATGATCTCCGAAGCTGGGCTGTCCTTCAACCTCATCCAGACAGGTAAGGGCAGTGTCAGGATGGAAAGTGGAGGCTGGGGGCTGGAACTCCTGAGTCCTGGGGAGCAGTGGTGGGGCAGGGGTGGAACAGCCTGCCTTACCTCCTGGTTCCCCACATTAGAACGACAGAACCACGCCAGGGAGCTGGTCCAGGGACTGAGCCTGAGTGAGTGGGACGGAATTGTCACAGTCTCAGGAGATGGGCTGCTGTATGAGGTAGGGCAGGAGCCCCCTGCCTGAGCCTGGGGGAGACTTTGGAGGCTGGGACCAGCACCCAGGTGTCTGGTCTCTGGCCCTCCAGGTGCTGAATGGACTTCTGGATCGCCCCGACTGGGAAGAGGCTGTGAAGACACCCGTGGGCATCCTCCCCTGTGGCTCGGGCAACGCACTGGCGGGAGCCGTGAACCAGCATGGGGGGTAGGTGGGCTGCTCTTTTGTCGGGTGAGCCTGATGATGCCCTGAGGGAGGGATAACAGACCTGGCACATCTGCCCCCTCCTCTCCCTGCTCCACCAGTCCACTCAGTTCGATCAGCCTGGCATTTTTGCTGGTCTTGTTCCCAGCTGTATACCTAGTGCCTAGAACTGCCTGGCACACAGGCAGCACTCAGTGAATGCTTGTGGAATAGAAGAATTGACAGGGAACCTGGCCCAGTGAGAAGAGTCCACCTGGAGGTGGCCGCATGGCTGCGGGTGGGCCCAGTGATGTGGTCCCCCTGCTATCTGTCTCCCCTCACCCAATCCCGTTTACTCTTTCTCACTGTGTCAATCCATCTCTGGCTCTGAAGGTTTGAGCCTGCCCTAGGCATTGACCTGCTGCTCAACTGCTCACTGTTGCTCTGCCGGGGTGGCAGCCACCCAATGGACCTGCTCTCTGTGACGCTGGCCTCAGGGTCCCGCTGTTTCTCCTTCCTGTCTGTGGCCTGGGGCTTTGTGTCAGACGTGGACATCCAGAGCGAACGCTTCAGGGCCTTGGGCAGCGCCCGCTTCACGCTGAGCACGGTGCTGGGCCTTGCCACGCTGCATACCTACCGCGGACGCCTCTCCTACCTCCCTGCCGCCATGGAGCCTGCCTCACCCACCCCTGCCCATGGTCTGCCCCGTGCCAAATCAGAGCTGACCCTGGCCCCAGCCCCAGCCCCACCCGTGGCCCACTCACCCCTGCATCGTTCTGTGTCTGACCTGCCCCTGCCCCTGCCCCAGCCTGCCCTGACGTCCCCAGGCTCACCTGAACCACTGCCCATCCTGTCCCTCAATGGTGGGGGTCCAGAGCTGGCTGGGGACTGGGGTGGGGCTGGGGATGCCCCACTGTCCCCAGACCCACTGCTGCCCTCACCCCCTGGTTCTCCCAGGGCAGCTCTATTGTCACCCACCACTGAGGGGGGCCCAGAAACGCCAGCATCCTCTGGGCTCCTGCCTCCTACTTATGGTGACCCAGTAGCTATCTTTCCTGGGGGCCCACTGGACCACCTGCTTCCTCCTCTGGGTACCCCGCTACCCCCAGGCTGGGTGACGCTGGAGGGGGACTTTGTGCTCATCTTGGCCATTTCACCCAGCCATCTTGGGGCTGACCTGGTGGCGGCTCCCCACGCACGCTTTGACGACGGCCTGGTGCACCTGTGCTGGGTGCGAGGTGGCATCTCGCGGGCTGCGCTGTTGCGCCTTTTCCTGGCCATGGAGCATGGCACGCACTTCAGCCTGGGCTGCCCGCAGCTGTGCTATGCTGCGGCCCGTGCCTTCCGCCTTGAGCCTCTCACGCCTCGTGGAATAATCACGGTGGACGGGGAGCAGGTGGAGTACGGGCCGCTGCAGGCGCAGGTGCATCCCGGCCTCGGTACACTGCTCACTGGGCCTCCGGGCCACTCTGGTCGAGAGTCCTGAACCTAACTAAACTTGTAGCCCGCCGGGGGCGGGGCCTACATTCCAAGGGGCGTGGCCCGGCTGCTAGAGTTAGGCGGAGGCCTCACGTGCAGGGGCTGTAGCCCAGTCTCAGGATTGTGCCCGCCCCCAGGGGAACAGGTGATGCTGGAGGGTGGCCCAAATTCCAGGGATTAGAAGCCGTCAGGGTTCCAGATAAGTGGGCTCGCCCAGAGTGTAGTGTCTGACCAATGGAGGCCTCCTGGAAGGCCGAGTTGGTTGAGGACGGAACCTGTCTTAACGCGCCGTCCAATGACGGGACCTGGGATGTACGGGCCGGGGAGAGGCCTTAGTTAATTGGCCAGTCAGGACCCGGGTCTTGCCCTGTCCACTCCGGTGCCTCCACTTAACTGGCCAATCAGCCCAGGCGGGGCAGGTTCCCCCGGGCCGAAGCTCGAATTTGCACTAAAGTTCCTCTCCCGCCACCACCCGCGGGTGCGGGCGGGGAAGTTCATCTCCCCTGTCTTCTGTCTCCCGTGCGTCCCCCAACCCCAATCTTCAAAGCAATTGAAAAGGTCTATGCAATAAAGGCAGTCGCTTCATTCCTCTTAGACCCTCGCCCCTTCCTCCAACCGGTAGCCCGTGGAAGGGATCGGACTGTGGGCACTTACGCAGCTCCTGCCTTTCATGGCCCGAAGCCCAGACCTGCCCACGGACTGCGGCCAGTGTGACCCGCTGGCCTTGAAATGGGGCCAGGGAGCTGCCTCCTCCCCCACGACAGCTGGCTCTGGGATTCTCAAGATTTATTCAGGATCGTGTTAACGGAGGCGGTGGGAGGATGGGGTCCCCGACGTGCCTGGGGCACACACAGAGGACCCTCCCCGCCCCCGCGAGGGAGGGGGGAGGCTCGCATTTTCTTAAAAATATAAATGTATTTATCTGCATCATCACGTCCCTGGGACACCCAGCTGGCCAGCCCGTGGGCCACAGGGCAGGGAGGGAAGAGAGCGTCAGGGCGCAAGTCTGAGCAAGGCGTAAGACAGCGCCAGGTAAGGGTAGGGGTGCAGCCTCACAGGGCTCCGTGCTGGGCCTGGTAGCGAGACAGCACAGCACGGTAGTGGGACAGCTCCTGGCGCACAGCCACCACCTCCTGCCGCAGCAGGGCGTTCTCCTTCTCCAGGAAGGCCGCCCGCACCGATATCTGGTTCTCCTTAAGCCTCCGAGCGTCGCGGGACCGCTTTGCTGCCTCGTTATTCTTGTACCGCCGACTCCAATACTTCTCGTCCTGGGGGTGCGGAAGTGGGAAAGCAGTGAGGTACAGAGGGGTCCCAGCCACAGTGAGAGAAGGGAGGAGCAGCTTTGCTTCTGCCTTCAAGGACCAAAGTAGATCTAAAAGACCTCCAGGGCTGCCTCTTACCCAGCAGTGGGGCCTAAAGGATACCAGGTTTCCCCTGGGATGGGTACCCAGGGGTCTGCCCTTCTAGGACCCTGGTTGCTAAGAAGAGCAGGACCCTAGCCACAGCCAAGGCATGAGATAGCCTCCCACCCCAAGCAACTGGGCTTTAAGTTTCCATTCTTCAAAGCAGACTCCACCCTCCTCACTTGACAAAAAACCTAGTTAGCTCCTAGTAGTTAAGGATGCTTTTTCCCTGGCAACAGGGCCTTGAGGGTGACAAGAGCTCCCAGTGAAAAGCACTGCCCTATACATTACCTTTCCAGATCCTGGTTGCTAAGGAAAGCCTAGCCTCCCCAGTGACGGGTGATGTTCCATAAAAGTCACCTGGTTGCCAAGGCAACCTCAACCCTTCTCAGCAAACAAAAGTAAGGTCTAAGTAGTCCCAACGACTGCAGCTGGTGTCTGACCCACTGGCCTTGAATAGAGGCCCTCCCAAATCACCCCAAATTAGAATGTGGCACTGACTGCTAATGGGAACCTCAGGCCTCTTGCCAATGAGGCAGTCCAGACCCAGGAAATGAGGCCTTGAGGGCTAGCAAAGTCTGCCTCCTACACAGATGCAATCGCCCAAAAGGATGCCCTAAATCAGAGATCAAAGGACCAGCCCCAGCCTGTAGCTGCTAAGTAGACAGACTGACATCCCTTTGCGAAGAAATGCTGTTCATAGCAACTGAGCCCAGCAGAACCTGAAGCCTGCCAGGCAGACTGAGGGTTTTGGGTCCAGCTGATAGGAGAAACTTCAAGTCTGTACAACCGGGTCCAGCAGGGCTGTTTGAGTATGCGTCCCACAGTGATACCATCTTCATAAATCAAGCCCAAAACTTTGCCCCCTAGCACCCCATAGCCAAGGAGGGCTGATCCTTGGCTGTAGGTGAACATGAGAGCTAATCCTAGTGAGAACCCAAACCTGAGTGTGAGGAAGGAGCCATCTCTGGCTGTGGGGCCTGTGTCGGCCAAGCCTTTGCCCTATATCCAGTAGCCCTCACCTTCTGCTCCTCTGGCACCTGGATTTTCCTCGCCTTCTTCATGATGGGCTGAGGCTTAAGTTCCTCCTCTGAGAAGCGATGTCTCCGAGGGTCAAAGGTCTCGTGGCCCGGAATGCTTGACAGGGCTAAATCAGCAGGGTCAGGTTCAAAGGTCATCAGCACCTCCACAGTATCTGGGTCCACAGGGCTGGGTGTGTCCCGAGAGGTCAGACCTTGGGGAAATAAAATGTATCAGCTGAGTGTATATTTATTTGGGGGAGGAGGTTCCCAGAGGTTACCCCTGCTCAGGTATCAACCACCACAAGGAAGGCAAGGGTCTAACATAAAGTTTCCCAGGGATCAACCTCCCTAATATAAAATATGAAGGTTTCCTAAATCACAAAGATGCTTAGAAATCATTGAACCAACTCCACTTTTACAAACAGAGAAACTGAGGCCCAATCATTATGTGACTTGCCTTAAGTTACACTTGAGTCTGGACTATTGCTTCTAAAACCTCAGGGCCTCAGAGTCACAGTGTTAGCTTCTGTCCCATAGTCTACCCGGAATCCTTCTTATGGAATCCCTAATCAAAGCCTAGACTCCAGGCTGTTCAGGGAAAAGGAATCTTATGCACTGAAAAGACCTTAAGTTAGCCTCTTAAGAACCATTAGTTCTCAAGAGTTAGGGAAGAGAAGCGGAAACAGCTCTCAGGTTCCAGGAGGTTGGTTGAAAAGAAGGGACAGTCGGTCTGTGCCTTTAAGAGCTAGCAAGCCGGGGCCAGCTGAGGACACAGGTTCAGAGCCAAGTCACGTGCCGGCGCCTGCTTTCCCGCCCCGCCCCCCCGTCGCCCCCCACCCGCGCTCTCTCACGTTCCCCAGGCCCCGCCCCCTCCCGCGTGACCGCGCGTGCGCGAAGCACGGAGGTTATAAGAGGACTCACGTGGCGCGGGAATGTGCTGCTGGGAAGGGGAGGGCCCTGGTTCTGCCCGGAGGTCGGACTAGTGGTAGGTGTGTCCAGGAATCCCCGACCTGCAGCCCGACCCTGGAGACCCCAAGGTGCCCGAGGGAGCACACCTTTCCTCTTGCTCCCTCGGGTCTCTCAGCTCGAACCTCTCAATCTCCAAGGATCCAGTCCCCCCTGCTCTCTGGGGAACACAGAAGAACCGGTCCCCTCGATTTTCTCCCCAGGGTCCCAATCCCCTTGCCACTGGGGTACACTCGATTCTGGGATCCCAGGACCCTCCTCTCTCAGGAATGTAGGAAGCTCAGCCCTCGCCCCAATGCAAGACCTAGAAGGAAAGATCCTCGACCTTCTCCCCTCTAGTGGACGCCAGGACCCGGGTCCCTAGCCTTTCTCCAGTGGGGAACCCAAGAACCAGGGCTGACAGTCACTTATGTGTGGAAAAACATAAGTCTGTGCCCAGCCCTCCCCTTCTCCCCTGTAGAGGATCTAGTAGTTCCGGTCCTACCCCAGTTCCACCAATTCCAGGCCCAAAATATGAGGCGCAGTCCACTCCCCAGTAAATAACTCCGGTGTTCTGGGCTCCCAAGGCCCAGCTCCACGAGTCCCCATGTCCCACAGAAAAGTCCACACTACCTCCCCACTGGATTGTCTTCCTGGAATTTGGGGTCCCAAGTCTCTCCTTTCCTATGGATCCTGGAGACCCAGTCCTTGATCCATTAGGGGACATAATTCCAATCTCCTCTCCCGACATCTCTCAACTAGGGGGTCCAGAATTCAGGCGTGCAGCCCCAGTCCCACCAACCGGCCCCCAGTGTCGCACAGCCCCGCCCTTTGTAGTCTAAGCCCCGCCCACCTAAGGCCCAGCCCGGCTCCCGCCGCCGCACCTGCGCGTTGGCCGCCGGCGGCCCCGAGGGCAGCTCGGGCGGGGGCGTGCCCCGGCGAGGAGCGAGGGGAAGCCGAGCCGCAGGAGCCGGGACCCGGAGAAGGTGCCGGCGTGCGCACGGGCGAGGGCGTCGGTGACGGGCCGCCGGGGGGCGGTGGACTGGGCGGGAGCCCGTGCTCCAGCAGGAAGGCGTCCAGGTCCACGTACTCCACGTCGCCGAACGGCAGTGTCCGCTCCCACAGCAGCGGCGCCAGCAGACTGGGGCCAGGCGCGCCCGCCGGGCGCCCCCGCGGGGACCCGCCGCCTACCACCGCCCCAGATGGGGCATCCGCCGAACCCGTCGTCTCCAGGCCGGGCCCGGGGACAGTGGCTGCCGGCAGAGCCGCCTTGCGCTCCTTTTCCTTTAGGAGACCTAGGGGCCAAGGAAAGGCCGGGCAGGGTGGGGAAGGAGAAAAAGACAGAGATGGAGAAGAGACCCCGAGTCAGAGAGACACGAGGAAAGGGGAAACAGAGACCCACACGGCGGAGATCCAGAGAAAGAGGGGACAGACGAGGGGAGGAGGATCAGAGAGGGAGGGCAAGGACCCAGAGAGAGGAGGGGACAGAGACTCAGGGAGAGACCCATAGAGAAAAGATAGAGGGGGGCGGCAGAGACCGAGACAGGGATAGAAACTCAGAAGGAGGGGCGGACAGGGACCCAGAGAGAGGGGAGGTCAGAAATGTAGGGAGAGATAGGGACAGAGACCCGGTAAGGGTCAGAGACATAGAAGGGGAATGAAAGTTCAGAGGTGGAGGGTTGGGCAGGTGAGAGAAAAAAATGACAGCTCTGTGATTCCTCTGCAACCTACCCCACACACATACTCCCTGCGCACTGTACCCCCTTCTCCCCACCCCCACACTCTGTAAGGGGCAGGAAGGGGCTCTATTCCTGGGGCACATTCCTCATCCCTAGACTCCATGTGACCCCAGGAGGCCCCGCCCAAGCCCGTGTCACTACCGTGTGAGCATCCGACACACCCCTTCCCTCCTCCCTGGACCCCAGGGGTCCAGACTCTGGGAACCAAAAGGGGCCTAGAGTTTTGGGCCGTCTGGGAGGAGGACAATGGGGACCTGGACTCCTGGGTCCTCGGCGTGGATGGGCTTGAGAACTGGTACTTTTGGGTCCTGGGTGCTGAGAGATCTGGGGGCCTAAATACCTTAGTAAATGCGTAGATGAAGGTTGGGAGGATGGACTCTCGGCACACAGCAGGTAGCTGTAGACGCCCCCCTCCCCTAGCACTTCAGTCCCTAAGGGAGTAGGGTATCTGAGTTGGGCGAGGTTGGGGTTAGAACTCACAGCTGGTTGGTTCTTTGGGCTTGCTGGTCCCCTGCAGAAGGCTCCGCAGCCCCAGCAGCGCTCCCCCGCCAGGGGGGGCTCCCGCTTGGCCACCCAGCAGTAGGGGGGCCGGGGTCCGGTCACTCACGGGCCGCGCCATCGCCGGGCACCTGCCCGCAGGCTCACGGGCTCATGGAGAGGCAAAGAGCTGGCCTGCCAGTCAGCAATACACTCCTGCGGTTCCAGCCAGTGTCTGCCCAGGGCGCGGGCGAATGTAGCTTGCAAGATTCCAGTATCCAAAACGGTGCAAATCCTAGGAGCGACGGGGATTTGCAGTCCTCGGTGCAGAAACGTGCAACTCTAGAGGGTCCCAGGAGATCATGCAGTTTGGGTGAGGGGTGATCAAATCAGGCGGCCAGCTCTTTGCAACCGAGGGTGTAAGAAGACTCAAGGTGCTCCTTCTACAAGGTGGGCGAGCCTGGCTCTTACAAAATCTGCAGCTCTCTCAACGGAAGGCGCTTTGCAATCTGCACCAAGAGGTGTGCGCCGAGGGGCGGGGGAGGGGGCAGGAGGAGGCGGCCGCCTTGAGGCGTGGCCAAAGCAAACTTCTTTCGCGGAAAAAAAAAAAAAAAAAGCCAAACAAAACACCCGACACCACAGCGCGCACCCCTCCTCTCGGTCCCTGCCCGCACCCGCCCTGCCCCGCCCCGCCCGCCTCTTGGGCCATGCACCCTAGCCGCGTGCCTTCTTCGCTGAAAGTACGGGCCAATCGCGTACCCCTCGAGACGCACAGCCAATGGGACCCCTGGATCCGCCAAGGCCGGGAGGGCGCTGTATGTGAAGTTGCCTCGCCTTTTGGTGGGAGGCGGGACCCTGACCTACATTTGCCCAATGGGAGACGGCACTGGGGGCGGGACAGTGACCCAGTTCGAACCAATGAGGTAGGCGGGAGGGGGAAGCACATGGCTCTGCGCGTGCTGCCTGACCCGGAGAGTGGGGGTGGGGGAAAGAGGAGCCGCTTAAAGGAGCCGCATATCCAAATGACTGTTCAGGGTAACAGAAAGCCAAAAACTGGGTAGTGGGGTTTCGGAAGAGGTAGATTGGGTTGTAGAAGAAGGCTGCCATTCTGTAATACCCAAATATTTCCCCGCCGCGCCTAGAATCAGACCACTGAAAAACAGTAAGTATTGTGTCCCTTTAATAACTTTGTTTTGGGGTGACTCCCCTCCCCTCGTAGGGAGGATTGAAAAGGGCAGGCGCAATCCACGATGGGGAGTCTCAGCGACCGTGGGGGGCACCATCCACTGTAAGACAGACACCAGTCGGGGGCGTTAGTTTAAGACACCTTAGGATGGACCGTGCTGGAGGCGTGCAAGGGGCGTGTAGGGGGCGGGGGCGGGGCCGAGTAGGGCTCTACCACCGGGAGGCTGAGAAAGGGGAACCTGAATGTACCAGGTTGAAAAGGTGGGGGAAATGGTCCGGCAGTGGGCTGAGCAGTAGGGAGGTAGCAGGAGGGTGGAACGTCCAGTTTCAGCATTAGGCTAAACTACGTGAAGGTATTCTTGGGGTATTTGAGACTGTACCATGTTGAGAAGCCAGAGAGATGGCCGTTTAGATCACTGGGCTGAACTTTGAGGAGGTAGTAGGAAGGGAAAGGGATTGAACCATATTGATTCTCAGTAAAGGGGCGGTCAGATTGTGGAACAGCATAGGGTTATACCACATGGAAACAAGGAATGGATCCGGCCTGTACCACTTTGGAAAGCTATAGTAATAGGAACCACGGATCAACAGTTAATAGTACCACAAGGAAGTCAGGGGTCTCCAGTTATATACCAAGTTGCAAGTTGCAAGCAGTGAAAAGGAAAGATAAATCATGGACCAGCAATAGTCTATGGCAGGGAGGTAGGCTGTAGCATGTTGACACATATGGAGGAAGGAGAAAGAAGAGAGTGAAAGCTCAGGGGGCTGGACCATACAGAAGCAACAAAGCGGGGGTAGGACAGTATCATACTGATACATCACGAAGAGACACATAGGCGGGTTAGACCAAGACATGGGGGGTGACAGGCCGGACCATACCATGCAGGCGGTAGTTGGGGCCTCGGCAGCGCCTCTCGGGGTGCCGGGGATCCCTGTTGCCCCTCAAGGCCCTGTGGGCCAAGGGCTGCAGGGGCCGGCCGTTACCGCTGAGGCTCTGGAAGATCTGGGATGGAGGATTCTGGCTCAGGAGTCTCAGGGAATGCATCTGCCGTGGGAAGGGGGCGGGAAACTGGGAGTGAATAATGAATGATCCTGGTGACGTAACACAGGAAGTCCCGCCCCTGGGATTGGGTGGGTTGGGCCTCGTTCAGCCCCACCCCACCTCCAAGGGTTATCTGACCCTCTTACCCCCCTCCAGCTCCCAGTCAACGTGGGGAAGGAGGGTAGGTGATGCAGTAGGGTTTGTGTGGGAAGGAGGCCGAGGGTCACCTGGAGGGAGGTGATATTGAGGGCCCGGTCAATGAGGATCCAGGTGACAGTTTCTGAGCAGGGCGGGGTGCTGAGAGAGCCCTGATAGGTGATGAAGCCAAAGGACTCAGGGAATAGGAGCTCCAGGCTCAGGTCTTGAAGAAAGTAGGCATCATCTGTAGGCATATTAGGCCAGAATGAAGAGGGGTACCCCTCTTGAACTACCCTCATGTGCACACACTCCCACCAACCCACCAGGGACTTACTCTTGTAGGAGATGCGGGTAATGGTGTCACGGTTAAGGAGGCGGCTGAGGAATGAGTTTGAATTGCCAGCCACCTGTGTGGGGGTACGAGGTGAAGAAGTAGGAATCCAGAAGTCTAAGTCCCCCATTCCTTCTTCCCCCAGGACCCAGGAGTCTGAGCCTCCCTCTTCCTCAAACCCAGATTCCAGGTGCCCAACTCCTCCCTTCCTCCGAATCTTGCCTGGGCTCACATTGACAAAGAGGCTGAGAATGGCCAGGCCATTGGGGCCCCTGGAGGCAGCGCTGAGGTTCCCATAGAGTTCTTGGTTGAAGTGGATGAGCTGCACCTGGGAGGGGAGCACAGAGAGTGGGGTCCCCCAGCAGAAGGGGAGGAGAGAATGAGTGCAGCTCTGGACCTTTGGGTTTCCCAAGTCAGATTAAGGATTAGTGCTCAGGGTGGGGGTACCAGTTATGTGGGGAGGATTCAGTGAGGCATTAAGAGGAGGGTGAGGTGGGAGGAATTGGGTCTACTCAGGGCAAGGGGCAAGGGTCAGAGGTTAGTGACCACCTCAGCAGAGAAGCTCTGGTGATTGACTTGGTGTTCAGAGCCAGCTCCATCACGTGCTCCAAATAACAGCCGCAGTTCACTTAGTCGGTGGCTGTAAAGGAGAGGACCCCCAGACACATTGACCACGGGCCGAGGTGCAGGCAGGAAGGAGACGTGGCGACCTGTGTTGTACAGGGTTCCCCGGAGCTGTGGGAGAGGTGGAAGCTGTCACAGGGACACAGAGAGAAGATCTCTTTCCTCCCATTTTCACTCCTCCATTTTCTGCTTCCAACAATCATTTAATCATTCAGCATAGATTAAACATCTACTGTCCAGGCTCTGTGTTGGTCCATGGTAGGTGCTCAATATTGGTGAATTTACTTAATTAAATATTTATTGAACTGCTACTATGTGCCATGGATGTCAGGAAAACAATGAACAAGCAGACAAAAATCCTGGGCCTCATGGAACATATGTTCTGATGGGGGAGAGACAGACAATAAATACTGAATCACAAAAGTAACTGCTTAATTAATTACATCCTGTACTCATGCTGGAAGAACTGGGAGCTCTGACAAAATATAGAAATCTGGCCTAGATTGGAGTGGAGGGGGAGGTCAGGAAAGGCTTCCATGAGGAGGTGACCTTTGAATGGAGACCTGAAGGATAAGTAGGGGTTAGTTGCAAAGAGCAGGGAGAAGGACGTTCCAGGGAGAGAGAACATCAAGTGCAAAGGCCCTGAGGTTTTAGTGACAGCAAAGAGGTGAGTGGGACCAGAGCAGAGTGAGCAAAGGAGAGAACGGTGATGGGAACCAGATGGACAATGATGGGAGATTTTATATTTTCACTTAAATAATTAATTACATATATATATATAATATATTATATATATTATATATAGATATAGATATATAGATATATATATTCACACACTTGACACAGTGCCAGGCATTGTAGAAGGATTTTGAGCAGGAGAGTGGTATGATCTGGTTTGTGTTTTTAAACATTTTCTCTAGGAAAGTGGATTGGAGGCAGAGAGGCAGGCCAGCAAGAAAGCTATGGTACAGTCCAGGTGCAAGACAAGGTGGATGCAGTGGAGGCAACAAAATATGTAAAGACTTGAATGAGATGTAGCAAGGAGACTAGAAAGAACACAGATTGGAAATGGGAATGAAGGAGAGAACAGGATGGGGAATGGCTCTGAGGCTTTTAGCTGAGGCAGTTGAATGAAGGATTGGCATTGCAAAGTGGGCAAGAGCATGGATGCTGGGACCACACTGCCTAGGTTTGAATCCCAGCGTTGCACTCTCTAGCTGTGTGACCTCAAGCAAGTAACTTAACCTCTCTGTGCCTCAGTTTCTGCATCCATAAAATAAGGATAATAATAGCACCTATTTCATGTGCTATTCCTGTGAACATTAGAGGGTTTAACAAGTTTTTAAGACAGTGCCTGACACAGGAAACAGTCTGTTTAACCATTGTTTCTACAGAGATGGGGAGACTAAGGAGCCGTACGTGAGGAGGGAAGAACAGGTGATACATTTTAGAGTGGAAGGAGCCTCCTCTTCACCCGTCATACACTCCTTCCCCAAGGCTGGCCTCCCACCTCTGCACCACCCCACATGGCCTCCACTCATGCCCACCACAGTGGATCTGGTAACCCCTCCCACCAGGCCTCTTACCTTCTCTCCCCCAGTGCTGAGCCTCAGTGGGGGCAGGAAGGGGTCATAAAGGACCCTTTTCAGCTCCACATCCACGGGGCTCTGCCGCTTCCCAACCGCACACAGACTCCAGGCTGCGTTCACCAGGCCCCAGAAGGGAGGTCCTGGGGGTAGGGGTAGGGGCAGGGAGCAAAGGGAGTCAGAAATAGGATCCTAATGTTGGCATCTGCTCAGAAGGCTGTGGTCTGGACTCCTGGATCCCCGGAGAGGAAGGGCTGGGGACCTGGACTCCTAGGTCTGAGGGAGGAGGAGGCTGGGATTCAGAATCCTGGGTCCTAGAAGAATCTTAAAGGAGTTTCCTAAGACACCCCCCCCCCAACACCTCCAAGCCTCACCTTGATCAAACCCATCTTAAATGAAGCCATTAGGGAAGAAACTACAACTCCCAGCAGGCGCCAGGGCCGCAAGCCTAGCGGTCCAAGCCGGCTTGCCCCAGAGCCCATGGGAGTTGTAGTTCTTTCAGTCTCCCTTGTAGCACAGCTGGATAATGAACGTACCGGGGAGAGGAGTTGCAAGAGGGGGCTGGACAGGGCGGGGAATGGGGCCACCGAACCTCTGGTTCCCAGCAGGAGCCAGGACCTGCCTGCCCCTTTCCCTGCAAATACACACACACATTCTTCCAACCCCCATACTCTCTTTCCTTCTACTCACTCCCACTCACTACTTGAAATGCGCATGTATAATGTCCCATGGTGAGCCACTGGGGTTCTGAGGCAGGGCTGGACTCTTGAGGGAGGAGGGGAGGGAGAGGCTCGGACTCCTGAGGAGAAGAGGGTTCCTGGGACCGAGGAAGGAGGCGCCCGGGCCCCCTGACTCCTGGGTCCCCGCCCTGACTGCACCTGGCACGAAGTTTCCCTGGAGATTATCCTTGTAGCTCCACCAGTCCTCAGGGTCAGGTGCGGGTCCGATGTGAGCTGGGGAGAGAGCAGCCTGAACCCCTCTCCTTGGCACCCCCATCCCCTCCCTCCCTCAGGGGCTCCTGCCCCGAACCCCAGGCCTTACCTGCCGTCCCCAGTGCAGCCCAGAGTACCAGCGCTCGAAGGGTGCTCAAGCGAGCTGCACCCCCCATCCCCGGGAGGCCTCTGCGAGACCCCTTCCCAGTCCCCGGTCCCCTGTCTCTCAGCTCCTCTTCTCTCTGTGGGACCTTGTCCCTCCAGGACTTCCAGCCTTCCTCTCCTCCCCAAGGGGAATCCTGGTTCCCAAATATTCCCAAATAC